GGAAAAATGATTTGGGCCCAAAGCCCCCGAAACATGCTGACCCCATGCCCATAGTTCTCCTTGCATCCACTGCTCACAGCCGTCGCTTCAAGCTCCCGTAGGGCCCTCGTGTATTTCCCCAAACAACGGAACTGTCGGATTACCGGCACTCTCCGCTTTCCGATCTGGCCAAGCTTGGCGCACTCATGCTGAACCTTGCTGAATATTTTGTGTCGAACCATTTCATGATTCAACTCGTCGCCCGAGTCAGTCACCTCCAAGCATCTCGTTACTGCAAGGTGGCGTCAGTGATTGCTCTAGATGCCTGAGAGAAGATGGCAATGTCTGAACGAAAACTCAGATTGTGCGGGTAGCCACAAGTATGGGTTGTAAGTGTCTTATCACTCGTCGAAATGTCCTGTTTCTGATCAAGAAGAATTATACGGTGTATACGTATACACCTCACGACTCACAAGAGCAAAAAGTTAGTAGTAAAACGAAGTCAAAAGACTGGATTGCCCGGGTCCTGGTTTCAAGCAACCTAGCCGACCTTGTCCGAACAATCGTAGGAGTAACTGCAGCCCAAAATAGCGTCAAACCTTTCGCCAGTCAGTTTGAGCATGTGAACGGTCCAGGTGCATTAGCAACCAGGATTGATTGACAAATGGTTTGCGGGTCTCTAAACCCTCAAAACTCCGGTGATTTGAAGGCTGAGGCCAGGAGCCAAACCGTCGGAAGGACAAAATCAATGGATGACTGACTTCGTGGCTTAGTGTTTTCTAAAGGGAATCGGATGAAGTCCAGGGTGATAACTGAATAATGCTTTGCATGGGGTTTCCCAACCCGAAAGCCTGTAGAACAATGAGAGGAAAAAAGACTGAACAACGAATGACTATGACTAAGCAAATCAACAGACTAATAGACAGACTGGCAAACGGACAGATAGATAGATGTCCCTCTCTCGCTTTCGTTTCTTAGGCCAGCGGCTCGGCTTCTGGTGCAGGGATGTCGCCACGTCTGGGCAACAGAAAAGTCGTCGGCGCCATGACCTTGTGGGAGCTTCAGATCAGAGGAGAAAACGGATCCTTCTCGGAGGCTGGATCGGGACTGCTGGACTCCCGGCACTGCCCCGGTGCCCCCGGGATTCGAGCAGACTCCCGCCACGCAGTGGCTGTCGGCTTCCACCCTTTTCTCGCAAGCTCCTTGCAACAGAAGCACAGCCTTCCTACCAGGATACCAGTAGCACAGCGAAGATGCAACGAACCACAGCAAGGGGAGGCAGTCCAGCGTAATCCTCACGACGATGGCATTCTCGTCCATGCAGAAGGTTCTTTTTGCCTAAAGCCATTCAACGTTGTAGATTCCTGGCCACGGTGAATTCAGAATCAGCCTTGTCACTTGGAGCTTGTCCGAGGTATCTGGCCATAGCTGAAAGACCATTCGGCGCTGCCTCAGCGGAGAAGGATATTTTTGCACGGAACAAACACAGCTTAGCATCACGCCGTACTAGTATCGCGCCTCATTCGGTAGAGCAAAGTGCTGCCTGAACACGTCCTGCCCCATTCCCTTGCACCCCACTTAATTCACGGTCCAATGGCTCCTGTCCGAAAAAACAACATGATGGCCAATGCAAGATTACAGTCCTTGAGGCAACACCAGCGCCGCAAGAAGAAATCCTGCTGCAAGCATCCCAAACCGTCAAACATCAGTCCAGTCGGCGCAGGTGACCTGTAGGCCACCGTCCACCCCCGCGTACGCGCAGCGCCTGCGGCATGGATCATAAGACACGTCCAGATTTGATGACGGTGTTTGTACAACGCTGAAGTAGCTCGGTGCAACGGAAATGCTGATCGAAGCGACTTGCAGTTTGGCTTGTACGATCACAGAGCTCTCCGGCATTGCCCAATCTCAAGAGAAAAGCAAGAGCAACTGATTCTGACTTGGATTGTCGGAGTTGGCTGGCCCTGGCGCTGATGCCAGAGTAGTTCTAGGACCGCTAGGATGCGTCATGCGATCTGTGACCGCACTACGGAAGGGTCGTGACGGCCTGGGCAGCAAGTTCTGGATCTCCCAATCCCTGCGCAATGCGCAAAGAAGCGGCAGATCGGCAGTTCGGCTCGGCTCTCGCTCGCGGCATTGCCTGGGACTGACCCACAGAAAGTCCTCGGGCGACACCTCGTCCAGAGTGACCTCGGCTCTGCGGTGAGCTCCGCTTCGATGCGAGCTCTTAGAGCTCTTTCAAGGGAGAAGTCTGCTTTACCAGAGGAGTTTCAGGTTGCAAATTGCAGACGACACCGAAGCAACGAAGCAGGCCGCACATCATGCTGCCACTTCTTTCATGCTTGACTTCTTTCATCAAGTGCCGGGGGTCGCAAAGGCCGAAATGCAGTCGAATCCCTCCGAGTTGGGATTTGACATGGAAATGTAAGACATCGGAAATCTCCTGCAAAACAACACAGAGCCACAAAGCCACGCAGTGTCAAAACGAAGCTCCGGGGCCACTGCCCCCAGCAAATTCGGCCTCGGAAAGACGCTCAAGCTCCCCGTGGCTCGCTCGCTCGCTCGCTTCCGGTGCAAGGTCCACTGGACCCCGTGGCTCTGCCTCTCTGTCTCTATCTCTGCTTACGTTGACCTTTGGCCTACAACATTGCTGCAGGTGGCATTGCAACGACAGTGGGATAGGAAAGACGAGGACGTGGTAAGAGTAGCAGTAGGAGTACAAGTAGGAGTACAAGTAGGAGCAGTAGAAGCAGCAGCAGCAGCAACAGAGCAGCAGTAGCAGCAGCAGTAGCAGCAGTAGCAGCAGTAGCAGCAGTAGCAGCAGTAGCAGCAGTAGCAGCAGTAGCAGCAGTAGCAGCAGTAGCAGTAGTAGTCGTCGTCGTCGTAGTAGTAGTAGTAGTAGTGTAGCAGTAGTAGTAGTAGTAGTAGTAGTAGTAGTAGTAGTCGTAGTGGTAGCAGTAGCAGCAGCAGCAGCAGCAGTAGCAGCAGCAGCAGCAGCAGGAGCAGCAGCAGGAGCAGTAGCAGTAGCAGTAGCAGTAGCAGTAGCGGTAGCAGTAGCAGTAGCAGTAGCAGTAGCAGTAGCAGTAGCAGTGGCAGTGGCAGTGGCAGTGGCAGTGGCAGTGGCAGTGGCGTGGCAGTGGCAGTGGCAGTGGCAGTGGCAGTGGCAGTGGCAGTGGCAGTGGCAGTGGCAGTGGCAGTGGCAGTGGCAGTGGCAGTGGCAGTGGCAGTGGCAGTAGCAGTAGCAGTAGCAGTAGTAGCAGTAGCAGTAGCAGTAGCAGTAGCAGTAGCGTAGTAGTAGTAGTAGTAGTAGTAGTAGTAGTAGTAGCACTAGTAGTAGTAGCACTAGTAGTAGTAGCAGTAGCAGTAGCAGTAGCAGTAGCAGTAGCAGTAGCAGTAGCAGTAGCAGTAGTAGTAGTAGTAGTAGTAGTAGTAGTAGTAGTAGTAGTAGTAGTAGTAGTAGTAATTAGTAGTCGTAGGAGTAGTAGTGGTAGTAGCAGCAGTAGTCGTAGTAGCAGTAGTAGTAGGAGAAATTGTCGTCGTAGTACCACGAAGGTGCAGGTGTCCAACCGAAAGCTTTTTCATGCCGTGTTCCACGTGGTCTCGCGATCCTGTGGACGGGTTTCGTGGTCACAATGTCATACCGCCACTGTTAGGGCGCACTTGGTCGGCCTCATAGATCACAAGGGCCTCATGGGCCGTTGTCCTTGTAAGCGCTTGCCAAGGGCACAATGATGGTTCTCGCTCTCTCCCTCCCTTCCTTCACTACCTCCTTCTGGGGGTGTCGGAGGGTGGCATTTTTAGTTTTAGTTGCAGGAAGTGTTTGCGCCCCAGGTCACGCCCCAAAACCAACAACATTACGACCACATCACTTCAAGTCTTACGCACTACTGGGAGTTCGACTGGACAAAACCCTCTTACTAACAGGAAAGCAACAGGCGGTCAAGGCTCACTTTTCTCGCCTCGACCTGCACGACTGTGTTGGCGTTCTGTCTGCGAGCGAACGGGCTGGAGCAACAGAACCGTTTTCAACAGCGCGCTCGAACCACTCACCGCGCACCTTCCCCACCTCTGGAGTGCGGTGGTAAGTCGAACAGGTTGTCAACAACCGGAGCGTGCTGTAGGCGAAGAAAGGTCGCGCCACGCTCTGTCGAAGAAGGGCTCCAGCCGCTGACGCTGGAGCTGGTCGGCCTCCAAGCAGTCTCCTCTAGACACCTTATCGGATAAGTTGGCTTGACTGGTCACGCCCTGAAAACTTACGAACAAGCCTGGCTAAGCAGCCCACAAACAAAACGAACGCAAAAGCCAAGAAAGAACAGGGTTCTTCGAAGTTCCTTTGTTGAGGGCATGCTCCGCGGCTGTATTGTCCACGAAGCAGATCAGACAATCGAACTGGTCACGAGCCACGATCGATCGCAATGGAAATCGGCTGTGCCAGTGCTTCTAGCCGATAGATGTAGTCCCTGGAAGAGCAATTCCTGCTGCAGGATTTTCCTCGGCCGGGACCTGTGCTCGAAAACAAGACCTGGCGCCTCACGGGCTGAAGTAGATTGCCCCCCACGTTGGTGGGTTGCTTGAGCTGCTGCAAAGCTGAGCTAGTGTCCAGCCAACGGTTGGCGCACCTTCTTTTTTCATGCATGCTGATGAAGGCATCGGCATCGATGCGTCCGATTCGCATCTGCACTGACTGGGAGATGCTCGGGAGGAACCTGGGCTTGAGAGCTGGCAGCAACTCCAAATGTCACGCGCAGAGCCGGGTGCAGTTCAACCTCAGCTGACGAACTGGAGTGCCGTTTGCGGTACAAAGGCTTCAACCATGCCTGGCCTGCTCGCCCAAAAACCCAAGAGCACACGAACGTCAGTTTTCTTGCAAGCCTGGAACAGGTGCCTTTATGTAGACACTCGGAAAGGGCGGTTACGAGCTTCGCCACACGCTCAAGGCCCGCGATGGCCCAAACGCCTTCCGGCAGAACGCCAAGAAGGGTGCGTGTATGAAACGTCTTGAACGCAGAAAAACCGGAAGGCGCAAGCTCAGAATCTTCGGACTGGTCAAAATCCTCCACGACATGAGCTGATGGGACGATCAACAAGGAGACTGCCAGAAATGAAATAATGTCGGCTACCCGTACATAGGACCACACGCTGCCACTGCTGCCGAACGGTGGAATAATGCTCTGTCTGGTTCGACAGGGAGCACTACTCCGCACTCCGACGGATCCCGGACAGGGAGAAGGCGGCACGCCCCTTCGTGGTCCACTGCACTGAGGAGGGTAGGACACGCGACCCAGCTTGCACTCCTCTAAGATGGGAGGTTGCCACCGAACGTACGTGTTCTCTGTCGGCGAATGCAAAGTCCGAACGCGAGAGTGTCCTGGAGCACTTGAAGTCGGACCTTGTCGCCCAACCTGTGCCTGGCGTCAACGGCCCTAACAGGGGGAAGCCCCAAAACAACTCTGTGACCAGCTGACGTCTGTCAGGAAACTGGAGCAAGTCCAAAAGCCAAGCCAAAGCTAGCAGGTGTAGTTGTACTTTCTCCTGGCCCTTCTGACGTGCTCTGCCGTCTGGCGCAAGCAAGATCCGCGACTCTTGCTCTTCGGCCAGTTCTTGGACAAGGGCTGCCAGGTCGTTGCAAACGGACTGGCGCCACGCCGGCAAGGTGCCTGAAAACAAGGGCTTGCGTGTTGTAACACGACTCCAAGCATGGGTTAAGTCTGACTCGAAAAAGGTCCAACGCAAGTGCTCGTCGCTGGGCACTTGCAGGGGCGGGCACAAAAGGAGGCGGCTCGTACTAAAGGTCGGCTGCCGTCCGTGTGGAAGCGAGCGCCCTCGATAAACGGGGAGTTTGCCGAAACCGTCAAGCCTTGCGACTGGGCCAAGACGAGGCAAAGGAGATCAAAGGAGAAAACGGGCGACGGAGCAGTGCCAAGCGTTCCCTAACTAGGTGCACCTCTCGTAGTGCCTGAGCCCGGTACTGCCAAGGGGGATACTGCTGGCCTGCCTCCTTCCACCTAGTCATGGTTCCGGGAGACTCGCTACGCATTGCGCAACCTCGGTGTGGAAGGTGGCTGTGTTGCACGTCGACGCCACTTGGCGAGGGAAGAACGGACTGACAGGAGCTGCCAAAACCTGTTGTGACGTTTCCACCGCGCCAAACCTCCGCACATGGTTGCCGGCAGGGGCTCGTTGGGTGCGGGAGGGCACAGGGCACTGAACCACCGCACGCGCGGTCTGGAAACGACTGACCAAGCCGCGGCGTCACAAAGGAAAGCACAGCTCTTTGTCGAACATGTCCTGGATGTCGGGCGCCATGAGAACGTTCTCGACGAGCACAAGCTGCAATGTGCACAAGCTGCAATGTGCACACGCCCACGAACTGTTGGAGCCACTTGGCCCACGACAAAAGCTTGGCACACCTTCGGGACCTGCAACACCTGGCGAACTGGAACCCCGGGTGGGGCTAAAGTCGTGACACGGGGGTGCAAAATGGTGTTGGGCAACGAGCTCTTAAGGTTGCTGCTAAACGACTTGGGTCGACAGAAAAAGCGACACCCTGACGCTCGACTCCACCACTGGCCATGAGCGACCGAGGCCTGAACTGGCACCGGGCCACAACCCAAGCCTCGCTGTTGTACCAGCGCCTGTTGTGGGAGCGTCGTCATAAGCATTGTGGCCCTCCGCGACGGACTGGCGAAGAGGGACGCCAGCCTTGCTCTCGCCTTCAAGCGCAAATGCTCCAAGGAGTCCATCAGGTCATCCTCCGTGGCTCTCACCGGGACCCGCAAAGCGGTGTTGATCACGGCCACTGACGGGGGCGCCGTGTCTATGTGCCCATCTGGGCGATCTACGACCGGGTGCGGAGCCGTGTCCTTGGGCTGGGCCGAGCCTTGCTGCCGCACCGGCAAAACTCGAGAGGTAACATCGTCGAACGGGCTTTGCCACTAGATGCACACGTGCACTACCAAACAACTATTCGACTGGGAAAAGGCTCGGGCAGCCAGTCCATGAGATCGGCCAGAACATCACTGAACGCCAGAGCCTGCAAATTGAAGCTGTGCCAAGTACACCCACATTCTCCCAGTTGCCTTCGATCCCCTGCCCTTGCTACACTCCATTCTGCGAGCCGGCCATGCCCTATGTCGAATGCAGTCCTGAAGCATGCGGAAAAAGGAGCCTTTGTAGGAGCGAAGCATGACGGAGGAAACGCCTCGCTGCAGTGCATCAGTCTTCGAGTCACGCGCTCTGGACGCACTGGCTTCTATTCCATCTTGCCGCTGGGCTGTCACTGTAGCTGCATAGCTCTTGCTGTTGCTGCTGTTATTGCTTCCTCTTGGCTTGCTGCTCCGTGATGCCTAGAATCACCGCTGTTAAGCTGTACCCTGGATGATGCAGGTACGCGGGGCGTAGCCTGCCGCATCTCGGCATCCTTTTCGTCCCACTCGCCGGGTCTGCAAACTCGATAGGTGGGCAGGCACGAGGCAACAAGCCAAGACATGCTTGCCTGATGAAACGATGGAATCGGCTGACCTCAGATGAATTTCGAACACAAAACATATGGAAGCCGTGCGAGGCGCACAGGATGCCCCCATTGGGATCCTGGCCTCTTCTGCCTTCTCCCAATCAACTGCAACGATGCACAGCCTCAGCGTCAAGACGCCGTCTCAGCCACGGATGAAACACGCAGAGGCACAGCTTCTTGATTCTAGTCGTGACCAGATCGCCTCAGCACCCCACTCAATGAGCTCCTCCTCAAAACAACCTCTCAGCTGCCAAGAGCGCATCGGCGACTGCGCAGCCAGGGCCCGGGACCCGGGGCCATCCGGGGCCTATTCCGCCTCCTGTTGCCGGTCTTGGCCCTGGCATGGCGCTCATGGAGCCTGAGCCGTTGCTCGCTATCTGAGCTATGGCTGCTATGGCTGCTATGGCTATGTTTGGGACCCGCACCAGCAAGTGGAGGAGGGGCTGCACCGCCACAGGACACAGTCAGCAGCAGCGGTCGCCCCTTCACCTGACACGATTGCGGCGGCAGCAAGCCGCTTCAAATCGGCTCAATGTGGCCGTCAAAGGCTTCGAAATAACCTCCGAAACTACGCTTACACTGGCCTAGAGTCTCGTGGCTTGCATCTCGACTGGTGACGGGTGACAGTGCAGCTAGATACTGTCGCAGCCCAAAAGCCCAATTAGCTGTTGGGTGACTTGTTAATTTCGGTTTCGTTATTTAACATAGAGAGGTAAGGTTTTCAGGCTTTCAGCTACAGGTAAAGCGTAGAACCTACACAAGTTGTAGGCACGGCTCTTGCATTTCCTTTTCGCGGGGTAACGTATCCCGACGTCGTGGCAGCTTTGGTCTTTACGTTGAAACAAGTGATCACGCAAGCGCATGTATCGGTTTGACCACTGGGGATTATATGGATGTTGTTCTAAATTAAAGGAGCCATGCCCCAGCATTAGGACAGAGCTTGCGCCCGCCCTTGCGCCGTCTTGCGCGCGCAGGGGTTTTCACTCATGTCAACATAACTTTTCGACAAACCGTAAATTACCATGCATTCCGACTCAGTTAGTATGTTATGTATCTTGCGCCCGCCCTTGCGCGAGCTTGCGCGCGCACGGGTTTTTAACCACCATGCAAAACCCTAATGCCGGCCCTACTCTTGCTACAAGAGGCGGGGGTTTAGAACGGCATCCATATGTTTCTGCTCCACCGCATGGAAAGAACCAGGATGGCTTTGTCTTGAACGCGGTGGTCGTGGCGGCAGGAGGCGAGGATGCATGCCTGTAAGGACAGTGAAATCATGCAATTAACGTACGTTTCTCCGGCTGCTTGCCGATTGCACTGGAACATACTGGAACGCACCGTGCAGCTCCCTCCGTGCGGGCTAAGGGTTCATACGTGCACATGGTTTCCGATTCACATGCGCGCTTGGTGCAAAAGGCTCATATGCACACATGGTGTGCCTCAACTCGTGGGAGGGTGTGCGGTCTTGGGCTTGGCTTTGCAGCGTAGGGTAGTAGGGATAAGGGCTTTGGGTTCAAGGTTCGAGGTTCGAGGTTTAGGTTTTGCGGCTTAGGGCTTTGGGGGTCTAGGGTTCAGGGCCAAGGATATTAAATTAGGGATCCTGCATTTTGTTGCTTATGGTTCAAGGGCTTCCGTTTCAAGGTTCACGTTTCAGGATTTCAGGGTTTAAGGTCTACGGCTTCGGGTTTAGGGTAGGATCTTGGGTTCAAGGCTTCGATTTAGGTTTCAAGGTTGATGGTTTAGTGCTTCCGGTTTTATGTTCACGGTTCAAGGTTTCCAAGGGATTCGGGTTGTTCATCATGATTCTGGCGTTTACGGTTCGCGATTTTGGGTTTGGGTTGTAGCAGGGCTTAGGGTTCGGGGATTGGCTTCAGCGTCTTTGGTTTTTTACGGTCTACGGCTTAGGGCTTCGGGTTGTCAGTTACGGTTTCTAGGTTTAGGTCCAGGGCTTTGGCTTCGGTGTACAAGGTTTGCTGTTTAGGGTTTGCGGTTCAAGGTTTGAAGGTTCAGGTTCACGGCGTGGGGATTAAGGTTTAGGGCGTGTCGATGCTCCGCACACACCACCATGCGAATCTACCTAGGCTCTAAATGCTGATGTCAGGTCTCCTGACAGTGTTGTCTTTTCCCATCGTTTGTACGGACTATGACTACACATGTTGAAAGGCTCTACGAGTGCGGAAGCGGCCTTCGGCATCTCACCTTCTGAAGGCTTCGGTGTCTTAGAAAGCCAATCCGCCTTCGGCAAACAAAGGGCTGGATTGAAGATGCCCGCTCTCCCGTGCAAGCCTGGACTTGGAGGATAATCTCCGGGGAGTGCAACCCAGCCTGTGTCCACAGACCACTTGCAAACTGATTGAAGACACAGACGCCTGAGCAATTTAGCAGACGTGAACTGTCGCGTTTCACTACGGCTAATGCGGAAGGCAACAAATTCCAAGCTGCTGTGTGGCTGGGTCACTAATTTCACTGGAAGCCAGCAATCTATTGTAAGTCACGCTCTTGTGGCTATGTCACCCAGAACTGGAGTGTCTTCGTTGGCCGAAGATGAAAAGAGGGACCGACCCCTGCATCCAGAAACGGCAATTTGGTTCAGAGACAAGCACATAAACACTTGCAGACTTACATGCCCTCATCCGCCAAAATCCTCTGACCACAAGGCAGAGCCTCGCCTCGCAGCCGTCATCGTCCTCCCTGTGCTCGCGGCAAAACCCACAGGCAAACCAAGGGCAAATGCCTCGCTCCTGCAGGAAAGAACGGCAAAAACTTGCTCAGGCACGAAGCTCGCATGCCGCTCCTCGGGGGATGCCGACTCTTTGAAGGCAACCAAAGCTTTGAGCAAAGTCGCAGCCTCGCAGACTTCTCTCACGGTGGATGCGCCCGGACCGGAAGCTGCAGGAGGGCGCCTTTGCAACCCCGGTCTTTGAGCCCCTGATTGTCACATCCGCTCCTCATCAGGATGCAGACAAACCTCAAGCGGAGGATCTCTTGTTGCGAGGCTCGTGCCAGTCGGGTTGTGAACCACGGAAATGTTGGTTGATGTCCTACACAGGCTGGAAGTGAAAGCTCATTCCCGTCTGCATCTGGATCCCAGAGAAACATCTAAACACTGACAGAGGCCGGTCAGCCTGCTGCGTAGTTGCGCTGCAGTGAAAATCATTGCAACTTCACTATTGATATCTTGAGGAAATTTATCCGTGGATTGGTTGAGCGAGTTCACATTCAATGATGCAACAGAAAGAAGCAATCGAAAAAAGCGGTCATCGACGAAGCTCAGACGAGAGCTCTTGTCAGTGTCTGATATTAGCATGATGGAGACCCCCCCTGGCAACGATCTCCGCATACACGGCGGTTGCGTTCTCGCTGATTTTTTGCTCGGCTGGGATACACGTGCAGATGCAAACGCACGCGCGAGCCCGCGAGCCGGGCTTTGGCTCTCACGCTCCAAGCGCCGTGGGGATCAGCTGATCCGCCAGCGGCTCGCATCGTGTCCCGAAGGTCGCTGTCGCCGCGATCGCCTTCGCCTTTCGCCAACGAGACTGGAGCCGTCCCGAACAATCTGTGTCTCGTGTTCACAGCATAAAAAGAATTTCACACCCTCTTACTACTTGCGTGAGACTTCACGATAGAAGCCAGTCAAGCGGCCAACAACCGAATGAGTTTCGTGAATGCTGGCTTGGATTCGTTGATGTCCACATGGGTGCAAAAGCGGCGTCCCGGCAGCGAGGCAGTGGGGGCTTCCCGTCCTTTGCTCGACGCTCCGAGCAAGGCCTCCAGGGCCGCTTCCAAGTACCTAAGTGCACACGGCACGGATATGTCACTAAATGTGGCAAGCATTGCGCAGCACCCCTCCTAGATCTCCTAGCCGTCTTAGCCCTTCACTCCAGAAGGGGCAGACAACTGAAGTGCCTGCTTCGTGGACACCTGCGAGACTCGGAAGCATCTCGCAAAGCGTAATGGATGCTGCAGCAAAGAAAGAAAGGCTCAGAAAGGGCCTGCAAGGTTTGCACCGTCTCTTCATCTGTGGTAGCCCCCATGTTGCAAGCTACAGTCTACATTGAGTCTACATGACGAGCTGTGCTTTTCAGGCTTCTCTCCAAAGAAAACAGCAATGGTTGCTCTGGCAATCAAAGCGGCAATGATGACATTCTGGTGACGCCCGTGCAATTCACGTCATGGCGCTGGATCATCTGTGCTGAGAGCATGCAAGCTGGACAATCGTCCTCAATGTGATGCACACGCAAGACAAGGGAGCCTTTTTTTAACAGGCGCTAGATCGCGTCACGTGGCTCCGAGTCGTCGGCCCTCACCTCGAAGGCCAGGTGGCCAAGCAAAGCCCTGAATGGGAGAACTTCCTGCCTTCGAAGGCCGTAAAGCTAGTACCTGCACTGAAAGCTCTGAACAGCAAAGCGAAAGAAAACACAGAGCTAAGCCGGACCGCCTGCTCCCAGTAGGCTGGATCGTTCCGTGTACCGGGTCTCGCCTCTGGCAGATTAGAGAAACGAAACGATCGGCAGCTTCGACTCTGTTGCCTTCACGATCGCGGTATCCCGGGCCCGGTCCGGGCAAAGGAGATGGCTCACCGCCTCTCCGACAAACCCATAGGATCCATGAGGAGTGTGGTTGGTTTGAATGAGTCTGCATACTCTGAAAAGAGTTGAACCCTACTTTTTTGATCTAAGAACGCGCTTGCAACGGGGAGACCTGGACCTTTGCCTCATTCGTGCCTACATGTACACAGAGCCACAGAAGCAAAAGCAGCAGAATCGCAACATACAGCTTGGGAGATACATACGTGGATTTGTTGAAAGGTTGCCTGCGAGATGCACTCCCACTGTTTGCATGGATACCAAGGCTCATGTTGGTCTTGCACGGGGTCCTGGAGGTGACATTATGCAATCCTGAAGTGAAGAGGTTGGACATTATCGACCCGAGCTGCAGAACTTCAACGGGGGTTTGCTTGCGGACGTTCTTTCTTCTCAGCATGTCTCAGTACCTGCCTGGCACACTTTGTTGTTGGTCCAACAAAAGTCTATGGCGCACCGCCTCGAAGGCGTAAGACTCGTGTTGACTACGTTTGTGTACCGACTGCTACACTGCACAGCATACAGAGATGTCACGCTCAGTACTCACCAGCGGATAGGCTACAGCTCATGATTGATGGTGCGAGCGGGAGAATTTACCTCTACAAATGGACATTGATTTTGGCTTGTCATTATGAGCATTCACCGGCGACGGCAAAGTTTGCGTGGGATAAGACGCGATTGGTGGAAGATGCGTTACGTGGTACTGGAAGGGAATACTTGTTTTCAGCGGGTTGAACAACATTTGCAGAGCGCACTGTGCAACATACCTAGTGTACCCAATCCGGATAAGATGTGGCATGCTTTCAACTCTCCCATACGTGATAATGCACCCCATGGCTACAAGCTTCCAAAAAAAGGTTGTGCCGAGACCTACAGAAATGGAGGACGCCATCGTTAGCTTGCTGGAAGCAAGCAAGGATTTGGTTTCCTACCAGACTGTCTTGGGCGTGGCCATGGTCGTCTGGATGGTGTGGACAGCGTATTCTTACAACCATCTTTGCATGACATGCTGCACGTGTGGAGGGGATTCACGTTTTTCAGGAAAGCTGGACTAGCTGCCACCTGCCCAAAACGGGACGCACAAAACCGGTAAAACTCTCCACTCAAAGAGTTTGAGGCTGCATGGCGGATTCCTGACATGCATCAGGTCTGGCAAGCTTCGCGATTGCTGTTAGGAAAAAGAGTGGGCCCGAAACAGAGGAAAACCCATGTTCCTAAATCTGTGCGACCCGTGGTTTGCAAACGGAAGGACTTTCTGCAATTGCCTGGGCCACAGGGTGGGTGTTCTGCGATGGTTCTGAAATGGGACCAGGTTGCCCATGCCGCGGAGATGGATGACAGCCCTGTCATTCTTCGGAAGACTCTTTCACGTCCGCTATGTTCAAGATGCTGGTTTCCACTCGGATGCATGTGCGTACCCCTGTGGTTTGGCAGAGCTTGACAAAAGGAATGGTAAGTCGGGACCTGCAGGATTGCGACTTATAACTTGGATGTGCTGGGCAAATGGTTTTACGACACGCTTTGGAAACGGGTGCACATCAACATTTTCGAGACAATGCCTCGGGCCATCTCCGGAACAAGTCACGCGTCGGCTCAGTGTTGCAAGAAGTGTTATTACACAGGCTGACACAACATAAAGCATCACATGTACTCTCACCTATGATGTTGTCAATGCGCTTCCCAGGCTATGCGTCAAGTTGCAAGACCTGAGGAGGAGTTCAACCTCGAGTCTGGTGGGCTACAAGGTGACTTGGCGGCCTGCAGACATTTTCGTGAAGAATATCATCCTGCTATTGACCAGTGGCGTGATCGCACCACCCAGCAAGAACTACACATGCAAGACCCCGCAGCCATGACGTACTTCATGTTTCGCTCAGTACATACGCAGATGATGTGGCACGATCACGCAGATGTGTGCGAGCATGAAGTACTACCTGGTAAGCGGCACATGCGTTAAATACTTGGGCGAGTACAAACAGTTTTAGGGGAGCAATCACCGCGAGCTCGGACACAAAAAGCGGCGGTTGAAAAAGGTTACTACACAATGGGAAGTTTTTCGTCTCGCAACAAATCCTTATAACCAGCTGCTGAAGTGCTTTCGGGGCAATGGTCTGGAGGCCCGACTTCTCAGTGAATCTGAATACAGACGCCTGGATTCTATTGTCAACAAGCTTGCTCGAAAGGCTTTGCGGGGTGCGGCGTGCAATAAAGCACTCCAGGAGGATGGACAAAGCCATGCCCGACGACGATGTATGCAAGCTTCTTCGTTGTACCGGCCAGGGTGGAGCTTTGTGTTCGAAGACCTCAGTTTTGGCAGTCCGTGGCAAAATGCCCTTATCTTCACAAGACTGTATTGCCCGTCGTGTTTGGCAAACTTCATGGGGATTCGACAGCCACAGTCCGGCATGATGGAGGTTTTGCTGTTAGTGTTAAACCGTGGGTTGATCAATTCAAAGAAGATATGCTTGCATTGCTCAAACTGCATTCGCCAGCCGACGCAGACAGGCTTTTCCTTGTATTCAAGTAATACCGGGCAGATGTCCTAGCCATTGATTGTACTGAGCTTCGCTCGTCTTTCTTTTCTGCTTTTTGTTCCTCATCCTGGCGTCAGCCCCAGGCCTCAGAGTGAGGAGCGACAAACGCAAGATAAGGTGGGTGGCGATGTGGAAGAGTGGCTGTTGTTTGCTTGTGATTGCAAGTGCGACGATGGCAGTACATGCACGGCTACTTTTGGGACTGCACAAGCATTGGCTATGCATCAGCGAAGACGTAAAGGAGGCACGCATGGACATGTACACCCACATGTGCGCGCAGCAGTGTGCGGCCAATGCCCTTGGTGCAAGCAATGTGTTTACGAGCAATACTCTTCGGCTGCTTCGGAGTGCTGGTTTGCAGGCAGCGTCACATGCACGAAGGTTATCCCGCCAATGGTTCTGGTATGCCCCATTTGCGATGACGAGAAATCGTCGCTTCATGAGTTGCAACAGCGCATCGCGCAGCATTTCCCACAAGTGCCGAGGTCGTGAGCTTTACAGTGTAGTGAACAAGATGTCAACGTTTCAGCAGGCGCAAGAAGGTGCAGCCCCGTGAAGCAACAGCGGTTTCAGGATGACGAGGACCTTGCAAGCAAGGAGAAGAAGACGCTCGAGATGCTTGCCAAATTGTGTTTAAAGAACTCGCTGGAAACCAGACAGCTGCAATCTGCTATCTTGTGTACGTTCATTGTCCCGCGCGACAGTGCCATCGCTGCTGCTGGAAGTGATGCAGCAAAGAACCCTGCAAGAGGTACAAGGCAACGAAAAAAAGATCGATGCACTGGCCCGTTCATGTACATTTGTAGGCTCCCATCGTGAAAGCTGCAGTGGGGAGCGCGGCGACCGAGGAGGATGCGGACGTTCTCAAAGGGCATTCTGACAGTATGACAAAACCTGGCTCAGACCGGAACTCCATTGCGCTGCATGTTCATGTTGCTGGCTTTCGTTAAGCATGGGATACGCGAACAGTGAAGCTACCCTTGCCTTGCCGGAGCGACCGGTGTACAGTGTTTGAGACACTATAGAACGAGCCCTTTGTCCGAGCGGCGCTAGAGCGACAGCTACCAACATGCCGGGGCCAAGTCCCCCTGCTCGGCTTGAAGACTGTCTTCGAAGGCCGCGAGTGAGTGAGTCAGTGAGTGATGAAATAGATCCGGAAATTAGAAAACTTCATTCATCTAAGAATCGTGATAGGATAGTAACAACAATGATACTATTAATAATATCCAAACCCACATATCGTGTTCAAAGGAAGGCGGTGGAATCACACCAAACATGGAACCCTGAAGAGGCGATGAGCACCTCCACAACCTCTGGAGTCACGGTGCGAATCTTGTGGAATCCCGCGTGATGGGTGCAACAAGCCACGAACCTCAACAGATGAAATGGGGAGCAACAGAGCAACCCTTCAACCTGCGAGGAGGGAAGACTCGCACAACGTGGTAAGAGAACCAGCCCATTCCGATAACACACCCAACATCAAAGCGGTTGTCCGGAGCCACATGCACGATCCGAGAACCGCCACGATCGCGGACGCGAATCGGAGTTCCGTGAGATCGGCTCGGGCCCGCACCACTGGAATAGTCTTGAAACAGCCACCTGAACTGCGTGCATCTGCACTGCTGCAATGCAAGCTAAGGCGACAACTCTCAGGGTGCTACCATGCCAACGGAACACCCATAAGCGTCGCAACTGGTATGGCCAGGGCCAATCCATTCGCGATGTTGTACCTGGAGACGTCAACCCTCCAACCAAGCCCTCTGTCAGCTCTGAATGGACGCTTGTCACAGACAGGTGCGGGCTGGGAGCATGTTAAAGTCTTGCGACAGCGACAGTTATCGAAGTTAGGTTCAACTCCGGCATGGACGATCACCGTGCCCACCGTTTCTTGACACTGAGCGGCTGGGGCAATCCAGGACAAGTTGCAGGCTGATACAATGCAACCGCCAGTCATGGAGGCTCACGGCTGCACGAAAGAAGGTCAAGAACACTCAGCAGAGCTTGGAACCCGAATGTTTGAAAAGTTCAACACCCTTCCGGCCGCGACGACGCATCATGGGTTTTCACGGTACAAAAAGTCTAGGACTTGCAGTTCGGGAGTTCGAATGCTTCTGTTTTTGGGAATCTGAAACTCTAGAGCACGAACCCTGGACTTCTGAAAGCTTCGATTGTGAAAGCAAGCCACTTGGAGGAAAGTTCCATGTGTGCCGGGTTTGGGAGTATGCCTGCCTTTTAAACTGGAGCTCTTGTGCAGGGAACTCTCTGGATTTCTAGATGCGGGTTTGGGGATTGTTGTCGGGTTTTGCGGTTAAGGGTCTACAGATTGAGCATCGAGGCTTCATGGCGTCAAAGTTTTCAGGCTCTTCTGTTTAGGGGCTCTTTCATGTTTCTGCGTTGATTCAAGGCTTTTGTTATTCACGTCTGTGGGGCTTCGTTGGAGATCGAGGGCGAAGTTGTGATGCCATGCTGGTCTTAACGATGCTTAGACACATTACTGAGTTGCGCTTTTGCCATAAACGTCATGAGCTCGAAAACCCCTGGCGGGTATAGCGCGGCGAAACCCTGAAGCCCGGCCAGCACGTTCAATCCTGAGGCCAGAACCCGACACATCCTAAAGTCCCAAGGTCCCTTCAGGTCCAGAAGCCCCGAATCTTACATCCCAAAACCGCAAAACCAAGTTCCGGGTCTCTGGAACCTCAACCCTGGATCCTGGACTCTAAATCCCAAACAAACCCGTCTGTAAACCCTGAAATCTGCCGTTACCCTCAAATACTTACCTACAGCTGCTACTAGCCCTGGTTCATTTTGCAGTAATACTGTAACATAAGGGTATGAGGTATGAGTTTAGTGCCGGACGAGGATGCCTAAAGATGCACAATACCCCACCAGATGACACGCACGTCGAAATTTCAAGTCATACTGAATTTTCGAAAGCTTCCTCGAACTGCTCTTAAACCTTCGAGCCCGAACACCCTCGCTCGGGACTCCATTCCAACTGTACCGGGCACTCTGAAGAAGCCTTTGAAGAGAAGAGCGGCATCCTGTTTTTGACCTTGCTAGCCAGGGGTCCTGGTGTCTGCATGAACATGACGTCTCCAGAGCTCAGCAGCGCACTAGGACATCGATCAGTTTCACCAGATCGAAAGCGCCTTGGCTTCCAAGCTGCAGAAGCGCCAATCCGAGACAGGTTAACAGATCTTTACTTGCCTTACTTTAGACGTCCTCCACCCCCACCCCACGACCTCGAATCATACTTCAAAGACATCAACCTCACTGAAGACCTCAGCTGAGCGGCCATTGATAAGGCACATCATGCCCCAATAGCATAGCCTGTGGAGGTTTTCTACATTCTGCAAAGACATCTTCATTAGCGTCTGCAAGACACTACAAATTGCGCACGACCGCAAAATAGCAAGACTTACGAGCAAAACAGCGTTTACGGGTTATCTCGTACGCGGTTACTCATACCCTTGAAGAGTAGTTGAATGAACGAAGCCAAAGATTTCCGACCCCTAAGTTTTCGTGCGCGCTTTAGGACTGCTCTCCATTTCATTACCGTCTCTTGGCACAGGCTGGTCCTCAACATGACTGGCGGGATTTTCTTGCGGACCTGACCGGTCGGCCGTGTATTTAATGTATTTGCAGGTGGTGCGGCCTGGGTGCATGAAAGAATGGTATCGCAGTTTCTCGGGTGTTATATAAGAGCAGCGATCGGGACTCGGCGAGATGTCCGCCTAGACTGCAGAGTCGGTGCAGGTCATGTCATGCCAGCATAGCATTCGGGAGCTACGAGTAAGGCCCCAGCAGTTGAATGTTGATCTCCTGGCCGACAGGCTCTGTGATATGCTGACAGAGGCCGAGGCCAAGCAACTAGGGGCCTCCCGAATGCCGAAGTAGCCCACTGCAATCATTATGGCCTGAAGCACCAAAAACATTCAAGGTGCCCCAGGCAAGCAATGCTAGAGTTGTCGAGACTTCGAGCGGCAGGCCATTAAGAATGCACCCATGATGTCCAAAAATAGAACCTGTGGATAGCTTCTGGTGACAGGAGAGCAGCTGCCTCGCTGTACTGATCTGAGTCGAGCACAATTCGAACCAAACAGAGCAGACCTCTGGTGTATAGGGTCGACTGGGTCGACTACTCGGCTACTAGGGGGAAGGCTAGGGCTGACTCCCTTTGCCTGGCTCAGCCTGGCTGAGCCCGCAACTCTGGAGAAAGAGGACGAATTTCACCCAAGGGCGCCTCGCGATGGGATCACTTCAAGCCGAGAACGTGCGCCTCTCCGCCCTCTGCGCCTGGAGAGGGCATAGGCCGATGGCGGGCCGCCCCTGTAGGGAAGCAATGGAAGAGCATCTCAGATGGAGCAGATGCGAGGGCCACACATAGCTCCCATTGCTGGCATTGGAATGATCATGATGTCACAGAACCACACCAGCTGTGATCAAGTCTCGGATGACAGGATCTCTTTGCAGTTTGAATCCGAGACTGATCACAGCATTGTGTGGGTAGACCTTGAGCCTTGAGATGCTGAGACGAGCCCAGACTGGCGACTAGCGGAGAGCAACTGCATTGCAGGCAAAGGGAGAGCTACCTCTGGCAGTCTCTTGGACGTTGGGCTGGTGGGCAGATCTGTTCTGCAGATTTCTGAAGGATTGCCACTTCCTTGACACGGAATTATTGCTTGATTTTGGTGCTCAATCTGCCTCGCTTTAGGGAGACTGTCTGCTTCTGGGCGAAAATGAGCCTGTGTGCGTGCAGCTGCGTCGAAATATGTTTGCAGTTTCAGGTAGTGACTTTGTGCCTTCAGGATTTTCTCCATGCTCTACCATGTTTGCCGGAAAATCATCTTAGGAAGAAGGCACGCCCTGCCGTTTCGTCCATGCTCAACCCGGTCTTTAGCCGAACTCGCCGATGGACATTGGACCGATTGGACCTGACGGTCACGGCTTCAATTCAAAGACTCTGCTTTCGGGGATGCTGAACTAAGCACCGAGCGCTGATGTCTGTTCGGAGCAAACGCAGCCCATCGGACCCAGGCTTTGTGGCCATCCAGCTTTCTCAGGCCTCATGCACCAACACAATCTCTCGAGTACTCTGCCTGCAGTTCATCCGCGACACATTCCCCATTGTCCGACCGCCATACCTTAGCAAGCAGAGCTCCCATTCGCAGACTGGTGTTCTTCCGGTGCCCTTTCGGTGCCCAACCCTCGCACTGCCATCTTTGGAAGCCGTCACGACCTCGGTTGCAGAAGGCAGACATACTGTCAAGTGCTAGCTGATCTTCCTATTAGCAGAAAACTCCAGCGCAGTACAAGCACATCCAATCGTCCGCATGTTTTTGCAGCTGCGCTGTTCCACCGCACTTCACCGGCCGACACTCGCCAGAAGTCGCATATACATACATATGTATATATATGTATATGCATATATGAGATTGGATACTGCTACTGCTACGATGTATTCCGCACTCGCTTGGCACATCTTGTCACTTCACGGCTCCCGCTCGTTTCTGCGCAGTGCAGCACGACCATCAAGACCAGGTGGCTAATCGGCAGACACGCAGCTGTAAGTCTTAACTCTTCGTGGCTACTCCTTGATTGTTCGCACCACCGGTGTTTTCTGAAGCAACCTGCTTTCAGCCGTCCCGGCACCACCGTATTTTTCCTTCATTTATCGATCTGAAGATTTCTCGGCATTTCAAAGTGACAAGCACCCCCCCTGCGACTGGCGTGCATCCTTTCTTGCTTCTTTGCGCAGGTTGAAAGGGTAGAGAGTGCTTTGCCACACTTCGAGGACTTCCGCAGACTTCCCCCAAAGAGCGTGCATGGGAGCCAGAATCAGCTGCCAGGTTTTGGGTACCCGGGTATCCATTTGAATAAAGAAAGCAAAGCATAAAGCATGCTCTGAGGTAGACACACAGCGTCCATCAGTAGAGAAAGCAGCCATACGTAACCTGACTTCAACGTCCATAGACAGCCACCCTCTGTACATCTTGTAGCATCATTTCTGGGCGGAACCAGTCTTCGTGGCCGGCGAGGGAAAGCAATGGGCGACCGGTGACAGCACTCCAGGTCTTGGCCTCCAATCATCGGCAAAAGACAGACTCTGAAGTATCACGTTGAACGGGCCCATGCCATCCCGTCGCCAGAAGCCGTCACAACCTGGGGGAAAATATCTGAAGCAACATCAAGCTTGGACAGGTCTTAATAGGCTGATATGCTCGGCAGACGTGGAAGATGACAACCGCCTCGTTGCTTAGCATGATCATAGCTACTTCCCGGTCGAAAGGTCGTAAGCCTGTGATGTCGTAGTTTGAGGATGGACGGACTTTCTAGGCTGGGAGTTCCACGAGCAAGCGCTTGCAATATCTTGCAGATCCAAACGTGCTTAAACGTGTAAAAGAGCTCGACAGCTGAAGTCAGCCAAAAGAACATGGTATGCTTCGGAAGAATCGTTATTATCCACATGCGCGCGCAGTGCAGGGGGTTGATGCCTGCGTGTCTTGTTTGTTTGCGTTTCGCCACGAGATGCAAGTCAATTAGACGCTGCACAACGTGTGAGCATGAGGTGATCACGAATGTGCGACATGAGGTGTGAGCTCGAACACCTGCATAAAGGAGAATGCACTGACTCTTCTGAAAGGCAGGAGCTTGAGGCTAAGTGCTGATCCTTGAGGCTGTCAGGTGAGAATGCGGCGCACCGCAACCAATCATCATGACCTGCACTTTTTCCCTAAAGGCCTGCAGACCCCGCGCTGAAGCAAACATCGGCCTGTGATGACTAGTTTGGTCTGACCGGTATGAACATCAGTTATCCTGCAAGAAATCCCTGGAGCAGAAGAAGGCTTGAAAGTCGCACATTCGCTTCCTGGCCGACTGATCCATTGACGCCGTGAGCAACAGGTTTCCGTCATGGGAAAACTGTACGCTAAAGACCTGGCCAGTCTCGAACGCAAGGGCAAGGGAGTGGGATGTCAAAGCTGCCTTCATGTCGTGGCCGGACAAGACTTTGACCTCAGGTCCGTGGGAACCCGTCTCACTCGTTGCGTCGCTGATGTTTGGTGCCTGGCTCGCTCCAAGGTCTTCGCACTCCAGATGGACACCTCGGAAGAGGCAGAAAGAGGCCAAGGCCAGCGGACCGGACCTCGGGGCCAAAAAACGGCCCCCTTCAGCACAGCCCCTGTGGCTGTGATTTCAGCTTCAGATTCGGCCCAACATGAGACTGTTACCTCTTCCTCATAGGCGGCGTTGTCGAAGTTTCGTAGGATGAGCATCCTTTAAACGCCGCTCCTCGGAGTTTCGAAGTGCATTCGCTTCGCAGAGTTCTTCGGCTTGGGCTGCGCCGGTGAACGTCGTGTCGACTTCTGTGGTGCCTGGACCCCAGCGATCCTTCGGATGCCCACCACCTCGATTTTGCACGCTGCCTGCCTGCATGAAATGTGTCGAGTTGGGTGGCTTCACCTGGATCTGCCTGAGCCGACTTCGGCCGTCAAGAAGCGATGCTTCAAATGAGACAATGGAAGGGGCCCCTTGCGTTCTGCTCGGCGGTGTGCCCGTTTGCCCGTTTCATTTTGCAACAGCAATGCAAGCCGCAGACACGCAGTGTGGCAACAATCTGGTAGCTGCTGAAGATGTGCAGAAGACTGACACGGGATGCCTACAAGACCTGGGTCGCCTGCTTCGGGGTCATCGATTGCCGTGGCTATCAGCTGCCCATCTGGTGAGTACACAGCGCTGTGAATGCTGCGCTCGAACCTGGCGACGGTCAAGTAGGCACCAGCTGCCAATGCAGCGTGTAGGCAACAGGCTTTGATAGGGTTGCCGTCAGGAGACCACTCCTCAGCTCTGCAACGTTCTGCAATGCTTGAGCTTACGTTCCGCTGCTGCCAAACCCTCGGTTCACAAGCTGGACATGTTCCGGTCCTGTGTTTTGACATGCTGTGCCTACAACTGGCTGCGATTTGCATCTGGTGTGCCGTGCTTTGTCTTAGAGCAGAAGCAACAACTCGGCCATCTACGAGCAGTCTCGAACCGTCCTCGTGGCACGTAGCTCATTGCTGAGGCAGCAGACTTGAAACCTGCTGGGTAGACGCACTCGGCCGTGTAAGGAGAAAATGCAGCTTCGTAAACAGATGGACCTCAAGCTGGGGGGAGGAGGGGGCCGCTTTGGCGTCCATTTGACGCAGTAGTGTGTTTTACATAAACCCAACAGTTGTCACCAACTTTTGAGTTTCAAACCTTTGAGGCGCAGCAGCACTAGAGGCAGTATGTGAGTGACAAAGCACCGTGCTTCTGAATCCCGCCAGAAAGCATTCTGGTTCGGTGCCAAATCCGTGGAGAACAATGTAGGCCGTGGTCCAGAACCCTCTTAGACTCTACAATAGTACCGGTCCTGAATCCTGCCAGCACTTGCAAAGCCTTGCACCCTGCCGTTTGCCAGACGCTGGGGGCATGGTAGGGTGCGGTCAAGGTAGGTTGCAGTTGAAGAGAACAGCATCATTAAATACGTGAGTTCTGAGATGCCAAGCTCCACAAAAGGTTGGTAGGGCTTGCAAACCACAATTGCAGCATCGGTCTCGTATCACTCGGCTTGTGCCTTCAAGACAGAAACCCGGCTCCGCAGGTCTTTGGATGGCACAGTGTCGCGGTTCAAGTTCTGATACGCCACCGTTTCGGCAGCCATGTCTTCATGCCCCATGATGCCCCATGTACTGCTGCATTAAACCATACTCGTCATTATGGCTGGGCCATGGATGATGTGAACTCACCCCGGATTGGACCGTGCTCGTCATTATGGTCAGGCATTGGTCGGGCCATGGATGCCGCGAACTCACAACGCAGAACTATACAGAGCATACATGTCATGCATTATGATGGGGTCATGGATGCTGCATGGTAAGGAACTTCATTATGGTTGGGTCATGGATGCCGCGCAATTAGAATGTTTTAGCCCATGCACGTTATGAATGCCAAGTTGGGTCATGGATGCACCAGCAGAACCCCTAAACCCTAAACTTAAGACCGGGCTGAAGCAATTGGGTATGTCAGCTTTGGGGCTGATGCACCCACAGCGCCTTCAGCCCCTCACTTTTCTCTGAGAGGCCTGGAGACCCCAGCATGTGGCATTGTTGCAGTGCCGACTGGGAAATTTCAGTGTCCAGTTGACGTGCCTTCTCGTGATGTTTCTGCAGCTGTTGAAGGCAGTACTGTGTCAAATAGCCTGCAAGTGTGCATCACACAGGAGGGCCCCTGACCTTGTCCACCCCCCTACCCCATCCTACACCCCGCTTTCACAAACGACCACACGAGGTCGTGCACGCAATCTTGACCTAGTTCTCTGGTTGCCACAGTGCTAAACGACAACTCAAGCAACCTCCACAGAGTTACCTTTCGTAATCTCATCACCATTAGCACCAGGCGTTTCTTGCAGTTGAGTTTTCCGCAGATGCCGCATGTTAAATAAGAAAACTCCCCGGCATTCTCAGTGTGATAGATGTTCGGGCTGGGAAGCAGGAGTTGACCGTGCCATGATGGAGCATCATGCTTTACCACTGTATATGCATAGTTATATGGTTCTATGCATTGTTGATTGGATCGGCATGGCAAGGCCTCTGCTTCTTGGGCCTATGGCATCTCGCCCAGAACGGCTGAAACCCGGTACTGCAGCAAGTCAATGCAACAAGACAGTTTCTGTCGAACCCAGTCTAGTGAAGCTAAGGCTCGTTGTGTCCCAGATCTTCACCGTCCGATCATGTGATGATGTCAAGAGGTTACATCCTGAAATGCACACGTCAAGACATCATCAATGCTGCAGAGCTGGACGCCGGAAGGGCGTGCCATCAGGAGAGAAGAAGGCCGTGTAGACAGGCCCAGAGTGTCCTACCTTGCAGCTTCAGAGTGTGCAGAGAGCAAAACTGTGCGCCAGACTCGGAAGCAGGGCCCTCACACAAGTGACAATGCACTGTCCAGTTTGGAGCCAAAGCTTGGCGGTCTTGTCCTGCACTGGGCGGACCGTGCCCCACACGTGCCCTGGCGTGCCCTGTGCGTGGTCTGTGAACATCGGCCAGTCCGTGGAAGCCGTCGCAAGCAACTCGCCATCCGGGGAAAATGAAACACACATGACCTGACTTTGCGTCTCAACCCAAACAACGTGTGCCACTCATCGTGCATCACTGCAGGCAACGGCCGAAACAGAAGTACCCAGCATGGCAGTCAACCAACTTGAGTTACAAGTTGTTCTCATCTCCGTTGGCTCTTGACCTAGCCTTAGCATACCTTTGCCCAGCAAGCCTCGCTTAAACTGGGGAGGTGCGCCTGATCTGCATGTCCGCTGAACGTCATCAAGCAATCGCCTCTTTGAGAACTCTCGCAGGAAAAACGCAAAAGCTACCCGCAGCTACCCTTGGTCCTTAGCAAGCCTTGCCTGTATCGATTGACCAGAGTCGGGCCGTATGATCAATCGATGCGGTTGCAACCTACAACGAAGCTGCTCTACTTCCGCTGCTGCATCCCTTTCCAACTGTTGTGAGAGCAACGAAAACGCTGCCAAAATCCTGGGCCTTGCCATCGCTTGCTTGGCCAACGCTCCGGGCCACCTGCAACAGGGCCGGGAGCGGCGGGGGGGGGGAAGCGCGGGCACAGTCTTCAAAGACAGGAGGACCTGGAGGGTGCTGAAGGCCAAGGTCTTCAGGAGTTCTGGATCACCACCAGAAATTGCATCCTCTTGAAAGCATCGAAGGCCGAAGACATGGGGACGATGGGGAGTGACGCGTTGCCTGAGGTACCATCCAGCTGCCACCGACGGCGATGACCTGGCAGCTGCCACTGGCATGTACATGCTCGAGCGAATTAAACCGCTGGCTTCTGCTCCACACTAGGGCACTGTGGTAACTTTGACAGATGCAAAGAGGATGCAACCGCAGCCAGTCAGTAACCGGCCTGCTTCAGCGAAAGGTAGGCCTCGAGCTTCCGCGCAAGACCATGCCAGCTGCCGGCTGTGTTGGCTGTTGCCTGGAGGTTCTTCTCGGTAACCCCCCCAGACGGGTAGAAGCTGAGGTGGGGAAAAGGTGCGCAGATCGCCTGCCACCAGCTTCAGAATGCTTAGGAAAGCGCATACCAAACAGACCAAACCTCGCCTTCAAGCCTTCCATGCCACCATTAACCTTGCACAAGGCTGACAGAGGATGGCACTGGGCGAAAGTGACTACATTGTGCTTCCTCGGCAGGAAAGAACTTCAGAATGGTCAGCCCCATCCTGTGCCAAAGACACTGAAACAGATGCATCTTGTACAGCCATGTTCGTGTCTCCATAATCTCCGTAGGACGGCCTGCTGGCCTCCTGCACTTCGGAGGGTGTCGCCACGCCTGGGATCACCTGCGCCGCGGCCGGGGGGCTGCTTCTTAGCACGGCGAGGCGGCGCTCAGGCGCTGGCCGGAATCTTCCTTGCAAGGCACCAGCGCAGCACCTGGGGACGGAGACCGCTTTGCGTGAGGGAGGCCAGGCCCGGGGGGACCTCGGAGTTCAGGCCCGGCGTGGCGATGAACTTCGCCCCGCAGCTCACGGCCTCGGTCGCGTCTCTCCGTCTCCCGCTCCACGCTATGCACGTGCTGCGGCGATGTCTCGCTCTCCCTTTTTTTCAAGCGCCTTCGGAGGTCACATTGGGATGATCTTCTGTGACAAGCATGCTTCTGCTTTGGCCGGCAGTTCCTCAGGTTGGACAGACCGCTATCGCTGGCAGACTTCGCCACGTACATCAATGCCAAAGAGTTCACCGTTTACTCTGCCAGGCAGCATGTTTTTCCAAGAACTGGTCATCCGCCGTTCGTCCGATGAGGCCAGGCTCCACGCAAACAAAATCCTGTGAAAGCAAATCTACATAGATTTCAAAATGTTCAAGTATCTACAGCCCCGCCTTGAAAGCCGGAGGTGGTAAATCGCCTGGCGAAGCCTCCTCATAGGGATTCCACCTTGGCAGGACTGCGGCGTGCTATCAGAGTTCAGCTGGCTTTGGCTGAACAGCTGACACAACGATCTCGATGGGCATCAGCTTTCCAGAAATGCTGCCTGCTCAGGCCGCCGAAGTGTTTTCATGCGAGGCTCCAAATGATTTCGACAAAGGTGACTGAGTGGAAAACCTTCGTTGCACACTGCATACATCGCCTTGGCTTCACACGAGTTCGAGTCAGCACCAGCGCTTCTACCAAGCATGGTTCTTAGGCAACCACAGCACCACCTCGCTGGACAATAGTTACATCCTCCGTGTTCATGCAGCTGAGCCGTGACTTTTGGGAGACGCTGGTCGGCCTTGGCATCGTTTCCGCTGGCCGTGTCCTGAGCAACCCCGCTGCATCGTATGCTTCGACGCCCTCGGCATGACCCGCAGCTCGAAGCATGGATTTTCCGACTTCCAAGCTTCCTTGCCGCCAGTGTAGACGCGGTCAGTGAAAGACGGGAGCTCCACGTCTGCAGCCTGCCAAACATAACCCTGCCCATGGTGCAGAATAGGCCTAGAGTCTAGAAATAGCCAGGGACCACGCTTCCAGTGCCTTTTCGCCACCTTTCACCTCCAAGAGGCTTGCATGTGCCACGGGCATGTCACAACTCCTACCAGTGATTGCATCGAGGGAAAGGGCGGTCCATCGTCGTACTGTTGGGATGAAAGACACAAGATGGACTGGAATATTAGGGATTGTCGATCAGACAGGGAAAAGCACCGAAATGACTCGCCGTTGTCTAAGGAACACTCCTCGGTGGCTTCCTCAATCATTTTTGATTGACGGGACGGGCTTCTCGGAAGGCCGCCTCAAAGGGCACTTCATCGCTCAGGGCTTGTTGGGCTTTGCAGGGGTGCAGGCAAGCTGCGATTTCTCACGGAGTGAAGGCAATGGCAATATCCCCGTTAGTTGTAGCACACACAGCTTGCACGCTCGGGCTCAGCGAAGCAGAACCGCGAGCGAATGTCCGAGTCCTTCCAAACTGTACAGACCTTGCGTCCTTGGCAAAACCTGAAAATCTGGGTTCTCGCCGCCTGTAAGGCATCTGAGCGAACCGGAAAACGAATACCACCAATGCGAAAAGTCACCCCAAGATCGATCAAAGACAATCCCTCAACGAACAGATCAGCCCGGTCGATGGCAGTGAGAAGCTTGCGCAAAGTTTTGCACACTAGCCGCAACTGTACAGCAACTGTAAGAGTGGGCGCCCCGAGTGGCACCGCATCTGCCTCAAGCCACTGAGCCGACGATAGAGCTCGCACCGGAAATTTCAGCTCAGGACGTTGTCGGAGAAGGAAAACCAGCTCCAGCCAGGAGATCTCTCGCCAGGATTCGCCGTGTTGGCTCTGGTCCAAAAGGAAGTCACATGAAGCTTGCAGGCATGTCATCACAAGCGGTTCTGGCCAAGGATTTCCAAGTTATCGGCAGACTGTCCTCGAAATCTATCCCCGGGATTAGGTCATCACCAAGAGGTTCGGTTTGTGTGGTCCTGTTCTGTTCAGTCCGAGTGCAAGCAGCTATGCCAAAGTAAATACCACGAAGAGCCAGCATTTTCATCGAGGCAGCGATTGTGCCATCCAAAAGCCGCGTCGTGTGCGGACCGAAGCTCCTGGGGCCTATTGATGTTCGCGAGGCCGGCCAGCACATCAACTCGGTTGTTCCAAGCAATTGCCCAGTCCTCGAAGGGAGAGGTTCCGAGGGTGGGGTCCAGATGTGAAGGTACATGTTGTGCCTGAAGTCGGCCAGGCGGAAAGGTCTCAGCCAGGCTCACCAGCAACTCCCAGAGATCATGATTGTCAGCGGGAAGCCAGAAGGAGCCGTCGATGATATGTCGGAGTCCACGCCCAACCGAATCTGAATCAGTCCACAGCACGATCGACGCTTCCGTTTTCAGGCCCCATCGTAAACTAGAGATGGCACCCCATAGCTCAGCCCGGGGGGAAGTCTGCAAGAGGCCTGGCACCTGCCCACCAGCCGGAACATCACCAGTTGAGGCGTTAACAGTACCCCAGGCAACCAATGCGAAATCTGGGTGAGTGGATAACAAGCAAGATCCATCGCAGAACAGGTGCTGAACACCAGACCCACAGCGCAGAGACGCGAAGCTGTCTGAGACATCGGAGATGGCCAAAAGGCATCGTTGAAGCCTCGGCAAGAAAGGGTTGGCCGGTGGAAGGAGATGCATCCGCAGGCAGCTTGGCAACTCATGCCAGATATCGCAAATCCATTGGAAGGGCGCCCGTACGGATGCATACCGTGGGCAGTGACACACGCGATGCTCATGATCGTCAGGAATGCCACAGAGGTCGCAGAGGCCGTCTTGAGAAAGATCATACCTGGAGTGGGCAGCACCGAACATGTATGCGCCGCTACGAAGAGCGGCCAGAAGGGACAGTTCGAGGCTGGGCAACTGAAGCACATCGGCCCGCAACAAAGCGAGGTCAAGGCCGGTAAAATCCTTCATCGTGTGCCGTTGCCGGTGCATGCCTGCCACATGTGACAGCCAAGCTTGCTCGCATCGGCGTCGGAGCAGGGACTGTGGCATGAGCAGCATGTCGTGTGAAAACCTTCGTGGTCAGTGAAGACGGGCGGTGTGCAAATATGCCATCTCACCTGGGCAAAAACCTGTAGAAGCTTGGAGAATGGTCCGTGAAAGAGCGTGCCGTTGAAGCCGAACATAAACTCGCGCCACAGGTGCAGGAGTGAAGGGCCTTTACTAGCTAGTCGGCGCAAGTCACGAACCGCCGACCAGAACTGAAAGAAACCCGGATCAACATCCAAGTTGTGGTGAGTTGAAAGCCGTAACATGGCACTCACACCGGCAGAGTCACAGCCAAGAGCACGAACTGCCTGGGCACGAAGAGAGGCAATGTGAGCCTCTGCCAATGGGCACCCGGAGATACCGCGCAAGGCGAAAGCCCAAAAGCGCGAAGGAAGTGCTGCAAACTTGTGGGCCAACGAGGCTGGGGAGCGACGAAGCTTGCCACGGTCCTGGCGGTACAGGCCACATTGTCAACGTAAGAATGTGCTTGAGCACCACTTGTGAAAGCAGCAACATAGGCATGAAAGCAAAGGCAAACGAGGGACATGCCGACCGTGCTCAAGGCGCAACCCTCGGGGAAGCCGCATGAGGAGCGGAGGGGCTCGCCCACTGACTGCCGAATCATGAAGCGCCTTTCCAGGCCCGCCAAAAACGACTGCCATGGCCGAAGAAAGGTATCGGGCAACCCGATCCAACTAAAGACAGGTTCAGGAGGGAGGGCATTAAAGGCCTTAATCACATCAGTGCTGTAACCCAACAGAGGAAGATCAAGCTGGCAAGCATATTCGTCCAGAATCCACCAGAATTGTGCAGCTTCGCGGTTCGGCATGAAGCCCAGGGCTGTAGCTGGCATACGGTCACGGAGCCAGCGGAATACTTGGCGAGCTCGAAAACCACTCCAAGCCCGGTAGGGCCAGCTGAGATGGCAAATGGGGCGGAAGCCTTGTGGGTCATAACGATCATTTGGCTTTTTGAGGCAGCAGATCAAGCCAACGAGCCATTGCGCCGGCCAGGAGCGGCGCCCGGACTCGATATCACCCAAAAAGTCAAGCAGTTGACAGGCATGGACATCGGACATATTCAGAAGATCAAGCCTTGCCAGACCATCGGGGCCGCGCGCAGCCATTGGTTGGAACCGACGCAAGGCCTGGCGCCACATGAAGGCTCAGCGGGGGGAGCTCAAGCTTGCCAGAAGGCAGGTAGGCCTGGGCAAAAGAGATTACCCGGGACCAATCTGTAGTTGTAGAGGCGGCATAACGAGTCCAATAAGAGGACCACAACTTGGCAAATTCACTCTGTACATGTTCAGCCGAGGAGAGGAAAAAGCGTTTGCTCAAGCTCGGCATCAACCTGCAGATGGGAGCAGTCCGAGATGCAACAAGCATCGGCGGAAACTGAAGCAATCTGTACCTGGCACCCGTCTAGCTGCCACTGGCTGCAGCCACGGTCATCAACTGGTGTATCAAGGTGCACAGAACAGGTATGCGGGTCCACAGCAAGAATGCTATATGACCGATGCAGAACAAGTGTGTCAACCTGTTCGGGCTTGGGCTCGCTCCCGTATAGGTCACGAAACAGAAGGTTGCGATTGTGAGCATATTGCTCGGCCAAAATGGCCTTTCTCTGGCGTATATTCCAAGCCTCAAATTTGCGATAGTTGTCGTGGAAGTCCAGGAAGAGCAGATGACACACCTGTGCGGTGGGAAGGTATGAAGGGAACCAGCTGGGCGAGCCGGCCAGTTGCACAGGACGGGAAGTCCACCAAAAACAGAAGTCAGGGCGAAAGCCCTTAGCAGAGAGAATTGAACGCCACAAACCCAAGCGGTTTTCAATCGCACTAGGGGATTGGTTCCCGGCACGTAGCGCGTGGTCGAGAGACTGAAGCCGGCGCAGCTGTTGGTACCAGCGTTTCACCTCAAGTGAGATGCTGGCTTGGGAGGCGAGACATGTGGGGGGATGTCGGGAGAAAGGCGAGTGGCACGACCATGGCACCTGTGAGGAAGGTGTCCTGCAGGCGCGGCGGTGACATGGCCTTCAAGGCTGCTCTCAAAACCCTTTGCAAAGGCACGGAGCCAGCGAGTAGAGCAGGATTCCTGAATAGACAGAGGGGCACATGTTTGTTGCCACGTCTGAACGTCGATAGACGACCAGGGACCAGGGGATCTCTGCTGGAAGAGGCCAAGACTCTGCATGGTGGACCCCAGTCAACCTAAGTCTGGCGATTACAGTTGAGTGCTCAGCAAATGTGTCAAGAACAGACACCTCCTCACATAAAGCAGCCGCTTCTGGGCTGAGGAAAATAAAATCCCGATGCGTAGAGCCCTTGCAAGTCGGAGTGGGAGGCCGTTGCCAAAGTGTTTCGGCAAGCTCCTGGGCTTCAATCCAACCCTGTTGCTTCCAAAGCTTGACCTGATCAAGTTGGTCGTGCCAATGGTTGAAGTCACCGGAGATCAGGCGGACACCCTTGCGACCGAGAACAATCTCGTGAGTGAGGGTTTCGAGCAGTCGGTCGGTGCGAGCCCGAGCATCGGTGTAAGTTTTTCCTGAGGGGAAGCCTTACAAATTGGCAGTCAGCACAGGTGTGTCATTGATGAAGTGGTAGAGGGCCTGGACGCGGCCGGTATGAAAAGAGTCATGCAACCATTGCAGCTGCAGGGGTCGACAGGGATAGTCACTCAAAGTGAGGACTCCGGCCCAAGTGCCGGCATACTGAGAGCCGGGACGTAAGGGAGCGGGAGCTCCAACAAAAATGCGCACATCACGGTGCTGCGCTCTGGCTAGGCTTTTGATGGCACCGGTAGAGGTTGGGAGGCTAACAGCCGAGAGCTGTGTTTCAGAAAGCTGCCAGATACCAGGCCCGAAGTCGGCAACAAGTTGCTCTTTGGTGCGAAGTCCACTGGGATTGGAAGTGCCAATGGGAAGCAAGAATGAAGGGCCGGGATTGGCAGCCTCACCGAGGCGGCAGGAAGAGGCAGCGTGGGACGCAGTCGCTGTGAGAAGAACATGCAAATCCAAAGTAGGAAACCGAAGAGACGTGACAGGCTTGAGCCAATCGGCCTGCCTCTGAACCCAAAGAGGCAGCCGGAACGCCCTAGTCACTCCGTCCGGCGCTTTTTGGACAGCAAAGCCTCAAACTGGGATGTCTGGGCCGCAAGCTGTTGATGCATATCACGCTGTAGGTTGCCCACGGCCTGTGTAATGGCAGAGGCAAACATCCGTCGGTACTGCCTGCAAAGTTTGCTGTTGTGTGGCGACGGTTTGCTGGACTTCCTTGACCGTGCTGGCCTGCTGTTGCATTTGGACGGCCATGGTCTGAAACCATTGCTCAAACTGTTGGTTCTGCACGCGAACTTCGCGCGGTCCTGTCTCAAGTTTGGAAAGACGATCCTCCTGGGCCAGGCTGGGAGCTTGGACAGTATAGAGCTGGTTGCAGCTTGCACCTCTTTGCGTACCAAAGCGGCAAGGCCTTCTTGCAATTCGGTCTTGACCTGAATCAGCTTGGAGCTGGCCTGCGGTGGCTGAGCATTGGAAGAGGCGGCAGGAGAAAGTAAACCGCGCGGCGGTCGCCCCAAGCTCCAAGGATCTCTTCCCCCGGTCCAAGGGCCAACTGGAGGGGCGGATGTGTCCGGGTCATCATACAAGATGCGCCGGCGAGTGCGGGAAGAAGCACACAGCATCGGGGCGTGCATGTTGGCTGACATCTTTGACCTTGTGTATCAAGACGAAGCCTGTGCCAAGCTGCATGACTGATGCGGGGGTTCGGTGGCACTTCCGACCTCCCACGCGCATCCGGCCGAGTCGCCTTTGAAGGGCTACAGCGGTTTAGCAGCCCATCCCCACTTGTCAAGCAGTTGCACCAAGGCCTGGCGCAGCATTCCATGTGGCAAGGGGCGCAGCTTCCAACGAGAGAGGACCTTGACTTTGACGAACGTCTGACTGGGTCTCAAGGACCTTTCACCAGCATCCAAAACCGAAGTCCGTACTTGGAGCCAAGTCGGGCAAGCCCTAGAACCTTATCACAGGTGCGCAACTGGTGTTGGGCCTGGGCTTTGTCATATCCCGGCAGCCAAACAACAGCGTACTGCGGATGTGGTCCGAAACCAGAGGGAGCTCTCGGCTCGAAGTAAAAGCCCGGCACGGCAATGCGTTGAAGATGCTTGGCAGCTGAACTGGGAACATGCACAAGGCCTGGAAAAACTCGGCCACATCCGGATTGGCACTGTCGAGCCCAAACATCCAAGAGCAGTTGCTCCACATGTTCATCCACAGCAGGATGGAAGGCAACACAGTCACCCCTGGCACATGATGAAGAAGAGCTCGGATGGGGGACTTGAGGAATACCTCCCAGTCAAGTTGGGCCTCGTCTCGGTACAGTGACAGCCTGCCCAAAATGGTGTCGAGGCGGTCGATTCCGAGCATGTCCGCATCAGCCGGGGCCAGTTGCACGTGCTCATCGCCCAGCTGGAGAAGGGACCCACTAAGTAGCACAGCCTCATCGGCGCACCGGCTCCCGAGTCAGGCGGCAAACGAGCCGTTGAAATGAGTGCCAGGGCGTTCACACTCAAGACCCGGTAATTATCAAGAAAAGGCAAGAGCTGCTGAGCGGTGCAAAATGTGATGCCTTGGGCCTGCGTCACAACTTCATCAAAGGCCAGCTGAGACAAGGGTGTGTTCTGCGCCGAGACAAAGGAACGTGGGGCGAGCGGCCAAAGGGTCTATCGAGAGCACCGGCCTGCCTGAGCGCTGAGGCTTCTGTTTGCGCGCGGCTTCGCGTTGCCGATCGCCGTGCCAGATCGTTGGTCTGCCTTGGCCTGTGTGAAGGCGCGCAGCTCCTCCGGACGAACCCAACGAAACAATGCATTCGGGGCCGAACCCGGCGCTTTAAGGGCCTTCCATGTGTTGTCAGCCTGCAATGCTTTAGCCACGGGGCCTGCGCCAAGCTTCTGGAGAGCACCTTGGATCCGATCTGCCAGGGCCTCTTCCGGGACCCCTCCATCCTGAAGCAGCTTGCGGAGAGTCACCATTTGGGATTCAGTCAGGCCCCCGAAACCGTAAAGCTTGGCAGTATGTGGTGGCATGAACTTGCAGTAGTTTTTGGCATCGCAGAGCAGTGTGTCAAAAGGAACATCCGAATGACACATGGTCTGTGCGGCAAAGGCCAGAAGCATAGGCCCGCATGTGCCCGAGTCAAGTTGGGTCTGAAGGGCAGGCTCAGTGACGATCACACTCGGAAGCTGGCATGCATCGCAAATGGCATTGGCAAGTTGCTGCGCAACATCTAGACTGTGACCTGGGACGCAATCAAGAAGCAGGGCAGTGCGTCCATCCTCCTGGGTGCGAGGTAGCACCAGGAGCGACCACTGTTGGTCCCAGACAAAATGAAACAGGCAGGCATCACAGAAAGAAGGCTAGGAGAAGTCCAAGCCATTCAAGGACCCGTCAGCCAGGAGCTCAAACCAGGCTTTGACCATTGCCGGGGGCGTGACAAACACCGGTTGCGAAAATGCCGCCTGCAGACGAAGGAGTCCTGTCCAGATGGTGAGGTCAGAAGTTCCTGGCAGGGAGGATGGCTCCTCCGAGGGCTGGCGCTTGCAAGCCACCTTGGTTTGCACAGCAACTCGGCAGGGATGTTGCTCGTTGTCAGGGTGCAGGAAGGCGTGCGGAGGCAGACATCTCGAGTGTTCAAAGACTTGTACAGAGACCCCAGGGCCGTGCAAAGACTTCTCGGCCGACCAAAGGCAGAAACCTGAGTAGGACCTGCCAGTTCGATGCTCCAGCTCGTGTTGTCGGCTTGCAACCAAAGCCGGGAGTCTTCCAGCAGGGAAGGCACAAGCCAGGTGTCACGGCGTTGGCCAAGAAGAAAATCCTTGAAGGCGGCCAAAGAACAAGCATGCGCTGCAAGTCGAAATCCGTAAAGGCTTTGCTCAGACCAACTTCGAAGCTGGGAGAAAATCCAAACGGCTTGTAATCGGGCAGTGCTCTGACACGCGAGCCGCCACGCAACACAGGGCTGATCAAGGTGTTTGAAGGAAACCGGCAGGGAGTTAAGGAGGCCAATCTCGGCAGCATGGGGAAACCTAGCACCCCCAAGAAAACCCGACAGAACCCCAATCCTATGGGAACCCAAGGCAGAAGGAGCCGCAGCGAACACACGCGCTGGGACTTGTGCACGCATGTCCAAGAGAAGGTTGGCCTCGGTGGCCTCATCAGCTTGCTCGCCTCTGCCTCTGCTGGCCAGGTGAGGGCAAGCTCCTCCTCACTAGACCAAATGGGCCACTCCGGGATGACATCACCTATGAAAACCTTACTCGGCACAGCGGGCCAGGGCTCTAGGGTGAACTCAGGGAGGTGGGCAGGCAGCATCACACACCACCAGCTGGACTTCTGAGCCGCCCATTGGTCGGCAAACTCCAGATGGAGCTGTTGCACTTGGAAGCTCATGCGAGTGGCAAAACTCTTTAGGAGTGCGACGGCATCGCCGCATTGCGTGATCCCGGGACCACCCTCAAGAACCAACCCGTAGGATTGCAATCCATGTAGCGTGTAATGTGCCAAGGAGAACCTGCACGTGCGAATTGTCAGGACGTTGTGAAAAGCCTTGCACCGGAGAACTGCCACCAAGCAGTGCCGCGGACAACACATGCCCTGTACCTTCGCAGGCCTTCAAGAAGGCCAAGTGCGTGTCACGAGAGCAAATATCTCCTTCCAATGCTTTGCAACCGTTGAGACGAACTGTTTCGCATGCAGAGGGTTCCACATCCACACAAACCAGGGTTCGATAGTCAAGAAAGCCAGCCCCGACGCTCATACCACCAATGCCCGAACAAGCATCAACCAAAGTCCTGAGTGCACCAACGCCACAAGGGGGCTTCAGAAAGGCTGCCGACGATGCTGCAGCACAAAGTTTGCCCACATTTCGAGTGACAGAAACAAGCGTGTAGTTGCACAATGTCCACATGCCTGGGCCTAAGGCCTCACAAGTGAAAAGATCACCATGCCAGAGACCCTTGTAAACGCCCTGTCCCGCATGTACCAAGACGATATCCACGGAAGAGCCCACAGGAATCTCTCTTAATGCAGGATCACCAAGCACCGGAGCCATGTTAGCAAAGTCCCTCGATGATTTGTCGTTAACAGCTCTACCTGCTGGAAGGCCTCGAGCCAGAGCTTCCCCGTTCTTTGTAAGTCGCAACTCAGCACAACATTGAGTGCTTGCCGAGACTCGGCTAAGAAACTTTAACCACACTCGCCGTAGCAGCACATGATTTCACACCGTAGTGGTGGTGTAGTAGTCGTCACAGTGGTGGCAGTAGTAGTAGTAGTACTACTACTACTACTACTACTACTACTCCCCACTCCGGCTGACCTCTGCCAGTCAGCTAGAAGCAATGTAGGCCGCATGACCTCTCATAAGGTCCTTTTTGACCTGGGCTAATCAGTCTCAAGGGTCTGAGTCAGTTTCACACCAACGTGAGTGCACCGCGGCAATCGCCCGCTATGTGCTGAGCCCGCTCGCACAGCGTTCAATTGAAAAATAGTAGTAGTAGTAGTAGTAGTAGTAGTAGTAGTAGTAGTAGTAGTAGTAGTAGTTGTAGTAGTAGTAGTACTACTACTTCTACTACTTCTACTACTACTACTACTACTACTACTACTAGTAGCAGCCGCCGCGGCCATCGCCGTCGTTTTCGTCGTTGTCGTCGTAGTGGCAGCTTCGTCTCTTGCACATGATGAAGGCAGGGGCTCATTAACTGGCTGATGCGTTGAGTGGAGACTTGAAAACGAGGCAAGACAAAGAAGACCACAAAAATAGACGGAGTTCACGCAAAGAGATCGGAGGTGAGGACCAGGGCTGCCAGGGCCTAATAATCTAGAGCTCTCGGGACGCCTCCAGGCCCAAGCAGCCCTAAACCCAGCAAGATTCGGCAACGCCTTGTCCAGGTACGTTCGGCCTCCTAGGCCTCGCACTGCCACCTCAGAAGCTCAGAAGCGAAGCGGAGAAGAGTCCTTCCTTGCATGCCTTCACTTTGTTGCAGCGCCCGCCTTCTGAACTTCGGGCACCCGAAAGTAAGTGTGCAACAACGCCTGGAAGGGAAAGGCGACCTTCGCTTTCGCGGGGGCAGATGCAGAGAGAGAGAGAGGGGACTGAACGTCTCAGAAGAACAAGCTTCGGCTTTAAGCGCTCTTGTGGCCGAGGCTCGTCCCCGGTGTTTTTTATTCTCAGCGCCATCTTCAACGACACCTCACTCGAGAAGGACACATCAGACAGCGCCTGCTCTTTGCCATTTTGAACTGAGCCTGCGACAGCCGAAAGACTTACGACGTACTCCAAGTTAAACGGAAAGTTCCAAACAGACCTCGTTGCCTAGCGTCGCAGATTTCAGTTCCTCACCAGGGCAGGCTTCAACAATGCCTATCTGACTGCCTCGCTGTCGGCAAGTGCGAGCACCACAGTCGACTTGGTGCCAAGGGTCACACTGCAGGTCCAGGCTAGACTGCATAATGCATAAGCTGCCAGCTGCTTCCGGACTGTCCTGCACGCTGATGAACATCCGAGAACGTGTTTGGATAGTGATTGGAACCCCACAGACGCGGAGCGAGACCTCTATCGAGGCCACCGACCAGAAGCTGGTTCGTGCGAATCCGTGCTGCGCCATAGCCTTCAGCGTGACACCACTCTGCAAGAACCGACAAGTTAACCACCAAAGCACCTTATCTGGTTGTCCAAACTGTGGAAAGACAACCGGTACTCCACCTCGTATGGCCTCCGGCAAAGACATGTCTTTGGCACTGCTGTTGTCATTCGGCTGACGGATCGTCACCTTCTTGCCGTCAAAAAGCGCTCCAGGTGACACGAATATTCCTGAATCCCGGCAGATGAGGTCGATAGGGTAAGAATGCTCTGCCCAACAATGCAACAATGGACCTCTCTATAAAGCCAAGAAGCTCTCTGTGCCATCTGCGGTTTTGTAGCTGGTAAGCGTGGCACCCCACAAGTAAATCTGAGGGCAAACTTCAGACTCTTTTTCGTGGGATCACATAGAAACGGGCACAAATCCCTTCGTGTCTGCAGTAAAGCGAAGCATCTGGACAGCTCCTGATGGAGTATGGCCGTGTCTTCCAGTGTGTACTGTTCACTACTGTTCTTTTCAATGATACCTTGACCAACTTGACCTACATGCCCTCTGACCGACCCCGCTGCCTGCCATGGTTTTAACATCTCCGCAACTCCTGCCTGGGCCGTTGCTCCGCTTGCATGGCGAAGCCTGCGGGACAAACGTTTAGACATTGTTTCACTTCGCCTCGCTTCGTCACCGTAAGCGCCACCAGGCCACTCGATGGTCTCAAGGTCACCTTGCCCTTTGGCTCGAGCGCTCATTGTTGCGAGGAACTTCAACTATTCTCAGAAAGCCGCGAACCGATTTGAGCGAAAGTGGCTGCAAAGCGCCTTGGAAGAAGCCTACTCTCAAGCCAGGCATGCGTAAGCCAAGTGCGTCCGCTGCTTGGTCTGTGGTCAAGACTGTGCCAGCTCCTGACGCAGCGTAATCGCAATCGCCTCAATTCTTGTCGCATTTTGCCCGGCTGTCCTAAGTATACACGAGGCTCTGCGGCAGCCATCTCGCGCAAAACCTCCTTGGCAAGCGCGACTGCTCCTGCTTCCCTTGCTTCCTTGCTCTCCTTTCGAACGGGGCCCCCCATAGCATCCAAATGGCTTTGGCGTTGCCACTTCGGAACGCGACCTCAGAAACGTCCGCCACGGACCAATAAGCAAAGCATGGCTCCGGAGTGCGAGTGCGAGCCTCAATAACGGAGAATCCACCGTCATAAATGGCTTTGGCAAGGGCAGCTGCCTGGGCCAAGCTGACGCGTGACCAAATCAGCCCTGCGACGGTGCCATGATAACCTTCTCTCAGCGTTGCGATCGCTACGAACTCATTGAGAGAAGAAGGTTCGGCACCAGAAATACTATGTGGCAGAACGTTTGAAAGAAAACCGACCGAGATAAAATCGAACAACAGCCTATATCATATTATTTCAAATTTTGGTGGTTTGACAGCTTATCTGTACTGTCAGATCGGCTCAAGGCATGATTAGTTTCAGCAGGACAGGCTTCACGCCTCATGGGGGGACAGATCACACATCCCTTCAGCATCAGTTGGAGGACTGCAGCAGTTTCCTACCGGGCCATGCTTTGAGTCCATAAGCTACAACCATGTTGGAGGGGAAAGAATACGGCGAGACTTCCGTCATGCAACATACCACACAGCTCTCCATGGAATCTATCTCCTTCGCAAGACCTGTGGCCCAGAAGTCCTAGGTAAATCCTTTGATGCAGCCGCTGAGAGAATCGAAACGATAACAGAAAACACCCGTGAGCGTTCCCAAGCGTGCGCCACTGCGCCAGCGATGCGTGGAGTGCTGCACACGCTTCGACGATGCCGCTGAGCTACACACCTTGCTGGGATCTTCGATGACCAGGACCTCATGTCATCTCACGATGCAACAAGAATGGGTTCATGCGAAACCTGTCCGCCCCACGGGTCCAAATCGCTGGACAGCAGAGAAGGATTCGTGTCCATCGGGGGGTGCGCAAAAGCTTCGACCAAACCGAAGCTAACGTGTCCGACTCTCCTGTGTTTCGCTTCTTGGCTCCCAGCAGGCACCACGCGAGCAGACCGAAGCCGCTGCGCGAGCTCTACATCCACGACCTGGACCATGCGAAGCCACGCATGAGCACTGAGCACTGGAGCGGGGAGGATGACACCGAGCAGAACAAGTTGGTAAAAGCTTGAGAAGTTAGCTGGCTTGCGGGGGCTTGGTTTTGGTCCCGGTGTTCTTGCTTTCCTCAGGGTATTGAAACATACTTGAAAGTGTTGCGGTGCGCTTGTGCAAGACAGACCACCAAGCTTTGCCAAACAACAGATGCCAGCAAGTGGCAACTGGATTGATGATCTAATGCCCTGGCAGTTAGATTGACGATGTTGTGTCCAAGGCATCCATTCCAACTCTGATCTGGTGCCGACTAGCCAACAGATCCAGCTATCAAGCTGCTAGGTCTAGACTGAACAAACCCTTTGGCAGACAGCATGCAACCCACACACACACACACTGACTGACACTGACGGTTTGGTTGGTTTTTTTGGCGAAGACCAATTCTGACGACCAAGACCTACAGGGTTTATTCGTCAGATACTTTTGACGTCTCTTCATGTTCAACAACGGCAAAGGCTGGTTTGTTTGCCCGAGATGTTTTGAATCCCCCGAACCGGCGAATAATGCCGCTGTCTGTGTAGATGCCGGTGAAGTTGTTCTGAAACCAAGTGCTTGGTTGCTGTGGTTGTTGAAACATCTGTTGGGGGTCCGGGCTTTTGAAACCTTTCGATGTGTCGCCGCCCGTTGCTAGGGTGGACTGTCTTTATACTGTCTTTGCTTTTTGGCTCCCAGAAACGACTTGCCTGGAAAATGCATGCCTGTGAGAGAATTTGGGGCGAGGCTTGTTTGGCTGTCTTGTAAGGGGCTCTGCCCAGTCGATTCAGGAGAAGGCTGTGTGGGTGCAGAAAGTTGCCGGAGTCGGCGCAGGTGAAGGCGGTGTTTTGATGATGCGGTTGCCTCCCTCCGGCGTCGTGTCGATATGCTCAATCTGCTGTGCTGAAATACCCACGTGTGATCTGGGTGCTCTTTCGCTGGTTGTGGGGCTTCTCTTGGGTGGGACAGAAGGCTTTGTTGATGCGGGATGATGCGGGTGCCGCTGATCCAGGTTGGCTCAGCTGTTGAACGGTGACCTTTCCGCTGCCAGTTTGGCCTCAAAGATCGCTGCTTCGATGTGCTGCATACATGTCGTTGGTGTTGGCGGGCTTATCTTTGTTAGCATCATGTGCTCCTGCCGGAGCTGCTACATGTGCGTATCCTGTGTGCCTGATTGTGGTGATTTGTCATCCTTAGCTTCTGCTTTTGTGGAATCGTTGTACTTGTCTTGGAGTTCCTGCATGTACAGAACAAGTTCCTTGACCAGCTGTGTCATGGCAGGATTAGGCTTCCTGGCCAAGTTGAGTCTCTATTCCCAGCAGTATGCTGTGGCGACCTGATCAAGGTCAATCCTTCTGGCACAGAGCAATGCTACAAGCTCGGTAACAAATACCGCCTCGCTGGTATGCTTGCGCACGTGATGTGGAGATCATAGCCGTGAGCTGCATACCTGAGCCAGTAAGATGACCAGCTGTGTCGCGGAAACGACACCTGCGGTGCTGTTGATGTTGCAATGGGTAGTCCCGCTGTGCGGTTCTGTATGGTGTGGGGGGTGGTCTGAATGTAGCGAGGGAGGTTGAGCACAAAAACTTGGCGGTTGTCCCAATGTTCCGTGGTCTGCATCCGACGCTGGCGTCATGCCTGTGGGGCTCTTCTGCGTATGTAGTGGTGGTACAGCAAGCGAAGGTGCAGCGTTAGATGCTCTTGGTGGTGTTGGATTGTTGGTGATCATCGGTGGTGGTGACGGTGGAAATGTTTGGCCTGGGAGAGTGATCTGTGAGAATGCTGGGAATTTTTTGTAAGTTGGTGCTGGCATGAAGTGCAAGAAGCGGTGGGGGAGGTTGTGGTGAGGAAGGAAAAGTGTTGGTGGGGTGCCTTACAGCAGAAGGGCTGTTGTCCCACCCCAATCCACAGCAGAAGCAGGAGCCCTGTGATCCTGCGTAGTTTTTCGAGCCTCCACGACCATTCCGGCACATCAACGCCACACAGCTCCAGGGAGGAACGGTGGAGCTACAACGCGCCTCCTGCACCGCAAGCACCACGACTTCCCACACCCCCGGCCCCTCCCAGCAGACGACATGATGATCGGTGAGAGTTGCAGCATCAAGTGAGACGGATGGCACAGCAGATCCAAAGCCAGTTGCCTGCAAACCGGCAGCGTGTGCACCCATCGTCGCACTCAGATGGCCAGACCTTGTTTTCCCTTCTGTGGAAATTTTCCAAAATCAGAATGCAAGACCTCAGGCGGTCGATTTGCAGCAGGTTCATAGTCTTGCAAAGGCACATATGTAACTTTCGGACCTGAAGAAAAGCTTCCTGCAGCAATTCGCGCACGCGACGGAGTTCATCAGATGCTCTACATTCCGTGTCGAAGAGAGGAGAGACTTCCATTCGGCCGATTCGGCGAGACCCGTTCTACTCCTCCGTCTTCTGCGTCTGACGACACTTGCACTCATGGAACTGATATGCAGTCAGCAGGCTTGATCATGTTGCTGCGGACAAGCAAAAAGGAAATTCCGGCTACGGTACTGTTGTGTACGGCTCTGCCATGCCGGGGTTTGCCGGAACACACAATCCACATAATGGCAGATAACACCACGAGACACTCAAAGGGGCTGCAGGGCGTCTCAGGCTTTGGAATCCTGAAACCCGAATTTCAACATTTTAGGCTCGATTTTCGCGATATGCACCGCGAAGCATACATCGTTGGACAAAAAGGAATAGTCCTGACTCCCCGACCGGACCCCAGAGAAATGGGGGCACGCCGGCCACTTCAACATCACGGGCTTCGGATTGCTCTCTTGAGTCATTGCAAACAACTCTGCGTTCTTTTGAACCTTGCAAGCAATTACAGCTGTTTACCTTCACAATCAATCTTGCAAACAGCCAACAAGCACAGGCGAGATTGCATATGACACCGCCCACGGGGCATGAAGGGTGCATCCATCAACAGTGTCCCGTCTGCGGCTGTGATGGTTGCGGCTGTGGGAATGTCTGCGGGATCGGTGCGCCTTGTCATGATGTCTGCTCGAGCTGCCTGTGTGTCGCCGCACACGGTGGCGATCCTGTCTGCGCCTATGCTCTCTCGGGCTGCATGTTCTGGCAGGGCTGCGACTGTGCATTCGTTTGTGCCGGTGTTGGATGGGGTCGGGGTCCCCGTCGTGGATGCCGATTGGTGGACCGCCTGGGGAGCCTGCTGTACGGGAGTCGACTGGGTTGCTGTGGAGGCGGGGTCTGCATAACGGCAACAATATTGTCCATTGAAGGTGCAAGGGCAGATGTTGAAGCTTGTGGCTGAGGGAAGCATGTCATTGTAGGTGGAGCTGGTTGGGGCGCCGTGATAGTTGCGTGTGCTGATGAATGTGGGTGGTGGGAGTAGTAATGTGAAGAAATCGTCGAGGGCGGTGGGCCCACGTAGTGCACAGGTGGTGCTGGCACAGGTACTGGCAGGGATGGTCGCTGCATCGACATGCAGCCGTACGGCTGGTGAAACTCTGCTAAGTGCATGATGCTAGATCACCCAAAGTGCAATTGACTCTCAACAGCAATGATGATTGTCTCGGGAAAGAAGTGAGCGAAAAAAATGCCGATTCGGTTCCGGAGAAGCACAAGAATGCACTAGATGCTTGAGTCACAGCACCTGCACTCATGTCAGACTCACATGCCCTTGCAACATGCCTTGAAAAAACTTACCGCGCATGCCCTCATGTCAGATGCAAATTCCGGCCCTGCGCATGACGTTGCCCACAATAAGTCCGGATAACGGGTATAAAATAGGAACCCGAGAGTGCCAGCCCGACACCCCACCGGAGGGCCGCTTGCGCTAGAGTCTCCGGGACCCGCTCTGAATCACACTGATGGATTCAGCAAAAAGGAAAAGAGGTCAAGAGAAAAGAAGAGTGTGGCATGATGCACTGTTTGTGGGGCCTGGCCTGAAACTAATCTTGGCACCTCAGGGGCCGGCGTTGCAGGTACGGGATCAAGCGTCTTTGACCCCTTCCCACCTTTGGCAGTAGCTTCGTTGCGTGCAGTATGCCAAAGGTGCTGCATGCCCAAGCAGCTGTTTTAATGTTCAAGGAAAATGTAAAAAGTAGGAATGACCCTGTGTTCCCATGTGCTAAGGACGTTCACACACGCACACACGTACTGACAACAGTGCCTCCAAAACCTAAAGCATGTCTGTGAACTGCATTATGGGCCGTGTGGTCTTGAGAGAGAGAGAGAGAGAGAGCGAGAGAGAGAGGCAGCAGATCTGTGCTTTCATGCTCTGCCTGAGCGCGAACCCGAGCCTGGCTTCGAGGCCTGGAGCTGGTGTACGCCAAGACCGCTGCAGCAGCGGCTGCGCCTGCTCCAAACCAACTCAGCAGCGCCAGCAGCCCTCGACCTCTAAGTCACAACCGAACGGAGAGAAATGGGCCAGAAAGTGCACCCACAGCTGCAGCTGCTGCCAAAGCCTGTCGACATTGAAGCTCACTTTCTGCCACAGCCGTAAGCTGCTCAAGAGTTCTTGGAGTCCCCTGTGGAGGCCTTGTAGCCATTGCAAGCCGTCGACATCGTATTGGGCTGCCATGGGTCGCTTAATCTGTTCCTGCTTTGGCAATGATTGCACCTCTGCCCTTGTCCCATGGATAAACGACAGAGCAAGTGCAGATGTATACTCTTCACGAAAATGATATGGCTAAGCTTCGTCATGCTTCGCAGCAGTCATACGCTAATCTTGATTTCAGGCTATGAGTCTATGTCATCCCAGCAGTCTTCCTGCAGTTACGCTTTCAGTGGAGGCTGTCAATTTCAGCTGCTCAATTTTGTGCTCAACAGCACCTGCAGAGGCCACACTTAGGATCCCAAACTTCGCAGAGGACCTCGTCTTGTCTGCTCTAATGGTCATTCGCGTCTGGTTCCAACCCTGTGTACACAGTGGTTCCATTTGGGATGCCACATAACCAAAACGACTGCAACCCCATGGTCCATGCTGACAGCTGGACAGCAAGGTCTAGCAATTCAAAATATGAGTGAATTCTTGTGAAACTCTCCATGTCTCGTGGCTTAGCCAGCGTCATCTTTTTGGTGAGACTCCGGCTGCGGACACGAAGGCGCGTAGGAAGCGCCGAGTACCTGCAGTGCATGGAGCTCGCCCTCGGGGGTTCTTTGTCCAGACTACACAGCCACGAGCCGAACCGACGAACCGAGCTGATCTCGCATTCTCAGCACTTCAGCACGGCGGAGAATATCTGGCCACATTATTTTTCTGCTTCTGCTGCCATTAATTTTTTGTTTTTTGTTTTTTTTTTGGCCTTGGGCCCTGTTACTCTGTTACTCTCATACTCTTATACTCTATTACTCTACGACTCTATTACTCTATTACCCTATGACTCTATTACTTTCTTACTCTAAAAGCTCTATTACTCTATTACTCTAGTACTCTATTACTCTATTACTCTATTACTCTATTACTCGATTACTCTATTACTCTATGACCCTATGACCCTATTACTCTACTACTCCATTTACTCTATTTATTACTCTATTACTCTATCTAGTTTATTTCCTCTATGACTCTATGACTCTATTACTTTGCTACTACCCCTACCCCTACTCCTACTCCTACTACTACTACTACTACTACTACTACTACTTCTACTTCTACTTCTACTACTACTACTACTGCTACTACTACTACTACTACTACTACTACTACTACTACTACTACTACTTGTAATACTAATACTGCTATTGCTACTGTTACTGGTACTGCTAATGTTTTTTTGTCTTTTTTTGCCCTCGGCCCTGTTACTCTATTACTCTAATACTCTATTACTCCATTAGTCTATTAGTCTACTACTCTATTACTCTATTAATCGATTACTCTTATACTCTTACTCTATTACTCTATTACTCTTTACTCTATTACTCTAGTACTCTAGTACTCTAGCACTCTATTACTCTATTACTCTATTCTCTATTACTCTATTACTCTATTACTCTATTACTCTATTACTCTACTACTCTATTACTCAATTACTCTATTACTCTATTGCTCTATTAGTCTATTCCTCTATTACTCTATTACTCTATTACTCTATTACTCTAGTACTCAAATACTCTATTACTATTACTCTATGACCCTATTACTCTTATACTCTTACTCTATTACTCTAGTACTCTATTACTCTATGTTGTTGTAAAGCAACGGCCGCCGCCACCACCACCTATTACTCTATTACTCTATGACCCTATGACCCTATTACTCTTATAGTCTTACTCTATTACTCTATTACTCTATTACTCGATTACTCTATTACTCTATTACTCTAATACTCTATTACTCTACTACTCCATTAACTCTATTTATTACTCTATTACTCTATCTACTTTATTTCCTCTATGACTCTATGACTCTATTGCTCTGCTATGCTCTGCTACTACCCCTACTCCTACTACTACTACTACTACTACTACCACTACTACTACTACTACTACTACTACTACTACTACTACTACTACGACTACTACTACTACTACTACTACTACTAAGGGTCTCGGCTTGAATCAGCTGTCGCGTAGCTCCCTCCGTGTGACGATGCATGGCTGGTGGTGCTTAGTCTTTTTCTGCTTTGTCGGTGAACGACTGGACAGCTCTTCTGCATATACATCATATTTCAGGCTGCCCTGGTCCCAATTCCAGGGGCAGGACTCGCAAATGGCAGAGGATGTTTCTTCTTTCAGTCCTGCTGACCCGAGGGTTTGCGCGTCGACCAGCAGCGCGCAGGGAGTCTCTGCGGAGACAAAATTCACTGGTGAGGGCGCTTCCAATTTGACCAAAGCACGAAAGAGGGCGATCCGGCGTGCTCGACAGAGAGCGGCTCAAACGGGCTACACTACGTACAGAGGTCGAGTGCACAGCGCGCGCAGTTTGCAAACTATCATGCAGAGGCCACATGTACAGGGGCGACAGCAGCACAGCTCTCGTCCAGCTTCTCATAGACGGCAACAGCCGGCACCCCGATTGCGGGTGTGCACATACAACATTGGGGGCTGCACCTCAGAGACGTATGACGTGCTTTGCGATTGGCTACAGCGACAGCAGGATCTAGATGCGCTTCTTTTGCAAGAGGTTCATCATGGGTTTGGGAAAGACGAACAGCAGTGGAGCATTCGGGGATGGACATTTTTCTCTGCCCCTCATCCTGACCAGCGCTACTCAGGGGTCGCAGTGGTTGTGTCAAACCGACTGGCTAAGGCTGCTGACTGTACTTTCTGCACTTGGGAACCGGGCCGGCTCTTGCAGGTTCGGGTAGAAACTGCTCGGGCGAACGTGGACTTCCTGTGTGCCTACCAATGGGTCAGAGGAAGTGACCCACACGATGCTAACCAGGAGCGGCGAGAACACTACTGGCACCAGCTGGGACGTGCCTTGCATCAAATCCCACAGCGCAACCTCTTGATTCTCGGAGGGGATTTTAACTCGGGTTTGCAACCACATGAAAACCTTATCGGTAGAGGTCTCCTGCCCTCCACTATTAAGAAAGTCGACCCGGAACTTGTTGCATTGCTTTCTGAACACAGGCTTTGTGCGCTCAATACTTGGGGTTCGGCTAGGTCTGCGCATTGCTCCACCTTTCAAAACGGAGCCCACCAGTCCCAGATTGACTACCTGATGGTGAGGTTGGAGTCGGCTGATCCGACTGCCAGACAGACACGTCCCATCGCGGGCGATCTTGTGCCCTGGCGCTCGGGACCCAAACACCGGATGGTTCAGGGTTCTATTCCGTTCGTAGCGGGGTGGACACATTCTAGAACACAGGCCTCTGAGCCCAAATACTCCAAGGCTGATCTTCGCTGGCATCTCCAGCATGGCACTCCTGAATCCCTGACCTTTCGGGCGGCAGTACAGGACGCTGTGTCTGACCTACAGCCCAGCACTCCCATCCGTGAGCTTAATAAACGGCTACTGCAACTCTGTGTAACGCACTTCCCTGCTGTCCGTCGATCTGCGCAACGGCCAGGAGACCGACCGGAAGTGAAAGGTAGCCTGCGTCACATGTGGGCCATGCATCGGCGTTTGAGGGCTAATAGGCCTGGAGCTTCTTTTCTTCAGGTTTTCGCTGCTTGGCGTAGGTTTGTCGGGTTTCGGAAAGCATGGACTGCCTTTCGCAATGCCAGCCGGCGAGCCCGACGCGCCAGAGTCGAGGAGCTTGTAGAAAGAGCACAGGCTGCTGCGAGCCGGCAGGATCTTCGGGAGGTTTATAGGGTAGTTCAACAGCTTGCACCTAAACGTCGTAACGAGAAGGTTCGCATACGCTCTGCTACGGGAGGTGTTCTCACGCAGCGTGAACAGTTCGATGAGCTACTTGACTACTTCATTCATGCCTTTGCTCGGCCGGCAGAATTTGTGCATGCTTCCTGCTCGGCAGGACTCCGCATCGAGGTTGCAGAAGTGGTTACTGCCATTGGTGAACTCAAACCCTATAAGGCTGTCCCCATAGGTAGTCCCCCGGCCGAACTGTGGCAAATAGGTGGTGCTCCCCTGGCCCAGTACCTTAGGGATCACTTGGAAAGGAGCAGTGCGCTGCTGCAGCCTCTTCCTGAAGAAACCACGCGCTGTCAGTTGGCGCTGTTGCCCAAGCCTGGACGTCCCAGTAAGCGCCCAGCTGATCTGCGGCCACTAGGATTACAAGACCCTTCCTCTAAGATCCTTGCTGGTGTCCTTAGGAATAAACTTGTTCCCATTGTGGTTCCTTGGCTTCAGTCTATTCCCCAATTTGCCTATATACCGGGTAGATCCATAGACTCTGCAATAGGCCGTGTGTGCGCCAATTGCGACGCAATCAAAGAGTTGCTGCGGCAATCAACTGGAACCGTGCACTCGCGCAGGCAAGCGAGGGCTGAGCCGAAGTGCCGGGGTGGCGCACTTCTTAGCCTTGATCTTAGTAGGGCGTTTGATCCTTTGCCTCGTTGGGCTCTAGCGCAATCGCTCGACGCAGCCGCCGTCCCTGCCCCGCTTCGGGATGCCATTCTGGATGTTCATGAAGCATGCTGTTATGAGATTCGGCACAACAATACTCTGGGCATTTCCCGATGCAAACGGGAGTTAGGCAGGGATGTGTTCTTTCGCCTGTTCTATTTGCCGTCTTTACCGCACATCTTTATGAGCTCTTGCAGGCTAGAACCAGTAAGGAGTGGGCTGCCCGTTTCGTCACATTGTTCGCAGATGACACAATGCTTCAATGGTGCATCGAGAATGAATCCGACTTGAGTTTTCTTTGCCGTAGCGTGCGTATCACCTTCGAGCTGTTCAGGGAATTTGGAATGACGGTTAACCCCACCAAATCCAAACTTATCTTGAACATCAAGGGCGGCTTAGCCAAGCGATGGTTGCGCGTGAAGCGGGAACGCTCCGCGACGGGGTTCGTCATTGACCTAGGCATACCTGGTGCTCCCCTCCGTATCCCCCACGTCACTAGCACTACTTACCTTGGCATCGAAATTTCCCTGGATAACTATGAGATGCGTACCTGCAAACTGCGCATGAAGCTTGCGGCGGCAATTCGGCACCGTTTGCTTAAAGTCCTGCATGCGGCAGGTCTTGCCATGCGCACCAGGCTTAGAATGTATGCCTCGCGCGTACGCAGCTCCATGCTGTATGGGCTGCACGCTACTGGTGTCACTCCAGCTATCATCCGGCGTCTTGATCAGAAGGATGCTCGTTATGTTCGGGCAATCGTCAAAAGCTTTGCGCATCTTGCTGATTTGCGTAACAGGGTCAAGCTGTCCTCTCCTCAAGATGCGTTGGGCAAACTACTTCGGGGTCGCATTAAGAAGTGCAACGATCAAGACGGCCGGAATCGCTTTGTTCATGTGCTTGCGCGGCTTGAAGCGACCACGGCCGAAGAGGCTGCTCCCAGTAGCGCCTTGATTGAATTGCATGATCTGGACCTTGCTCCTGTTGCCTGTAGCGTGTGTGGTGTTTACTTCCCCACCATGCGTATTCTCCTCTCCCATAAGGCCAGAAAACATGGGGAGCGGAAGTCGGCTGCGGTCACTGCTACTACCTCTCACACTGATCATGTCAGGCACGCTGTTGACGGTATGCCGCAGTGCATCCATTGCCGTCG